AGGGAAAGAACATTTCCAAACAGGTTCCTGTGAACTGATAAATGCCGTGCCCTTGTCTGCTTTGGCTAGGTGGTTCTGTATGACCTTGAGCACCGCAAAGAGTTCTGTGTTACTGTTGTAGTCTGTATGTTCGTCCCATATGTATTTGCATGTGTTTATAGATGCGTTACTTTATAAATGTGTATGTGCACACACACACAGTACTTCTCTCGTCTGTGGATAATAGCTGGCAATTATGGTAAGCATACCTGTGCCCTTCATTTAAGAGATGTAGGTTAAATAAGCTTTGTGCAAATTGTGCAAGATAATGTGTCAGTCCTTACGTAGCTGTAGCAAAAGCTTTATGTCAGTACATAATATTGAGAGTTGAGTACAAGGGCAAGAATTGCTTTAGAGGTGCTGTGCTATGTAAGAGGTCAAGATTCCTGATAATTTGCTTTTCCTTAGCTGAGAGTAGAGTGTGATTTGCCAGTATAATTCTCCGTTTTTAAGTGTTGTGTATATCAGGCTTTCACTTTAGGAAGGAGCTAGAGTAGTTCATATAAGGGTCTATTCTGTTAAAGCTAACATGCATTTAAAGCACTGTGTTTGTCAAAACAACTTTCAATCTCAAAATAAATATGATTTTAGAAATAAGAGCTGATGATTAAAAGATTTGGTAGAAGAAACTGTTTGAAAACCCAGTATTGCATGCAAAATCGGTTTTCATGAGCCTGAAAGATCTTTCACTTACTAATTTCAGGCTTGTTTTGCTGTATCAACAGTTGGTGAAATCCACGTTCATGCAGCTAAAACTAGTTCTATCATGTTTATTTGTGTAACAGAAGAACAAAGCATTGTTTAATAAACATTCCAAGAACATCATAATGTTAACATTACCTGCTTGTCCCCTTGTGCAAAGACAATTTTCTTGTAAATATTCTAGGGCATTCTTAAGGCAAAAATTATTTTATGGCTTGCCAAACCTAGACTTAGAAGTTCTGCTTCCTTTAAGAAGCCATAATGAGGTTTTATTATTATTGTTTTAAAAAAAAAACAAACCTGTTTAGGAATTATTTTCTGGTTGAACTGTATGGCAGCATACCTCTTCTCAAGGGCCTAATAACATAGACAAGAGTATGTGTGTGAGAAGTGCTCATAATCTCAAATTGCTTCTGGCTCTACATGTAATAGAACACTTACCTTCTTTCTTAGTTTCCATAGGTTATAGAAATGCAATTTCAGTGGCTTCTGTGAAAATAAAAATGAATGACAGGCTAACTCTTGTGGACAAGTCTTGCAGTGAAAAGTAGATAAAGTTGACTGACTGATAGGTAGAATTCATTTTTATTTTGTGTGAGAGACTTAAGAGTTTGGAAAGTATCCCTTATTCGTGAAGTATTCCTTATTGACTTACTGCCTCACACAGTTTTCTGAGGTGAAAAAAGCTTTAAGTGCAGACTAAGTCCAGTAGTTAGTTTTATATTATTGTTTTAGATAAATGTCTATAGGGTACTGCTGCTTAGAAACCTCATTCAGACCTGGACTCTGGGTTCTAGAGAGTGTGTATGAGGATGTGACTTTCCTGCACAGAGAAAATCTAATGGACGAATTGCACTGAGAACAGTAAAGAAACAAAAGAAGGACACCTTAGGAGGAGGGGAACAGTCAAGCTTCCTTCCCAAAATGTCTGGTGATTGTGAGGTGTAATGGGATTGCAATAATAGGCAACAATGGAAAAGGGAGCCTATTGCAGTTCTATTTTCCAGACAGCTTAGTTACCTTCTATTCAGACACTTTTCTTTGAAATACAAAACATATAACATCCTTGCCCTCTGCGTCCCTTGCTGTTTGTCTTTGAAATTGTGGTTCTCCTGCAGGCAAACACTGAGCATAAAAAATAACCTCCAAGTTATAATCCTTCTGCTTGGCTGTAGTTATATTTGGAATATCTTTGAAAATGTTGTGGTTTTTTTTTTTCCCTTTCTGCCTTTTTTTGGGACAGGTCAGCTCTATGGGCTTAAGAGTAGTCAGTGGTGCTGCAGCTTACTGGAAATTGAGAAGTCAATGCAACCAAGCGTGATCTAATCCATCTGAATAGACTGATGTCAGAAGTGATTATTATTTTCCCAAATATCAGTTTTTTTCAGGTAATATGGAGAATAATCAAACCTAGGGATGGAATTATTTTTTTTTTTTTTTTCACAAAGAAGATTTTAAAAAGGATTCTTATGAGTGCACTTAAAATTAGTTGTTAGAACTGAGAGCCAGTAGGATGAGAAGATACTCCCAAAGTTTTCTTCAGGAAGTTAATCCCCAATTTGACAAACTTTTAAAAATACACAGCTTAAGAAATTGGGCGAGAAACTAGTATTAAACATAAAATAATTATCATGTGTAAATATAGCAAAAGGGAGGAGGAACTATAGCTTTTGGACAAGAGTTTATATTAATAAACAGGACATTTGCAGGAAAAGGCATGTGTAGACTGTTCACATACCTCTTTGAGCTACTGCTGTCCAGCACAGCCCAGGTTAGCAGATTGCCTGAGTTCTGATGCCATTTTAAGGCCCTTCTTCCTAATACATTATTGAATATAGGAGTTCCTAAAGACTCCGGTGTGTAGTATTTGTTACTTATTTTAGAGCTCATCCAGTACAAAATGCCAGGGGTGCTCAGGACTTTTCTTATGTTAAAACTGGTAATGTTCTCGATCTCATTAAAATGGTTAGCTTTTGAACTTCAGGATCACTGCTAATGGTATGTGTGAACATATATGCTAGTTCTTTCTCACCTGGATGGAAGTATTGCAGTATCTTGATGCCACATGATCTCAGGCTTGCCAGTGAAGCTAGAAATGGAGAGAAACAAATAAGAAAAATCTAGTGTATAAAGGCTGATGAGGCCTAGATAGGCGTAGAGAACTGGTGGGCTTCCTAGAGTCTTTGGCACTTGAGCCCTTTAAAGATACTTTTGATAAAGTCATGTCATCACTTTAAAGTGAAGGACACTTGTGTGATTTTGTTTTGTTTCTTAAAATTGCCTCTATATTCAAGAAAATGGGAAAACTGCCTATATAGTACTTTTGAACAGCATTTGCCTGGTGAACTACAGACATAGTCAATCAGTGAGTCACTAGGTGAGGTGATTTTTAACTAAGGAAAAAAAATGTTCAGTGAGGAAAAGGTCTGAAGTTTGTGTCATTGATATATCAAAATAATCACTTTAACATTTGAAGAAAAAATAGTACTCAGTCTCCTCTTTTGGAATGAGTTTAATTTAGGTTGTTCTGGATCCTGTGGTTGTATATCTCAATTTGTAGTAAATGCTGCTCTTTTGATAGGAGGAATTACACTGCTTTAACCTCTTCCTGAAGCTGGAGAGCAGATTGGACAGGAAGAGGCTCAAATATATGACCAATAATAAATTAACATAAATAAATATATACTTTTGTTTAGTCTACAGTAGCATTATAAAAAGCATCTTCAATTATCAAGTTATTTCAAATGTGCCTGGTGGTCTGCTGTTTAAAAAGTAATAACTGAATATTGGCTGAGAATGATGATAACAGTCTTCTGGGTAATATTTTTTGTGAAATATCGGAGAATCCTTTGCGTGGAAAATTGTCTTTGGGCAAAAATATCAATTATTACTAGTTTCAAAATTTTGTTTGTTTTAATTCATATACTGGTATGATAGTCTAGGCCAGGCTTGGTAAAGGTACTCTTTCACATGAATCACCTGAAAACATTATAATCAAAGTTCAAATTTGTAAATTTTACATTTTTTTTCCTCTTTTTTTCCAAGTCAAAAGTTTTATTGGTTAATATTCTAGACATTAATAGGGTTAGTTTAAGGCACAATCATTCATGTCAGTATCTGGACATCGTTTGCAGTTTTTGTGAGACTGTTCTGCTCATGAGTATTTTGGCCCAATAAAATGGCATTTTTGGCCTTTTTATCACTTTCTTGCTCTCTAATAGAATGCTGTTTGTGCTTTTAATTTTCTTGCTGGCTTCCTGGCTCTAACTTTTTAATGGCTGTGCATTTTTTTTCTAAGTCTTTCTTCCTTGAATACTATATTCTTAGGCTTATGGGATAATTCTGCTAGCTGTTGTTTCCACAAGTTTCTCCAGTGTTTAATCTTTCTCTCCATTTCAGTCTATGCTCAGTTGCTAACAAAAATTTCATAAAGATAGGAAGAAATTTTGATTCAGATGTTGCAGTGCCCAATCAGCTTGCTCTGTGAATGTGTTAGATTACCTAGTGACAATATAAACTTAAAGAAAATTAAATTAATTCATGGAATGCAAGTAACAAGAGATTCAACAAGTCTGAAAGCACAGTTTTGCTTTTCTAACTAAGCTTCATTCAGTTACCCTTTTGAATTTTTCCTTTATTTAGTTCCTTAAGAAATTATTTGTACCATTTTTAGCAGGTCTGTTGCCCCTTTTAAAAAATTTATTTTAAAATGCCTGTATCTCATCTAGAAAATACATTATTTTTTCCTCCTTCACATGAACTTTGTTCTTCCTGCTTTTTTGTTTTCTCCTAGGTGTTCTTATAACTACGTATTTTTTGTCTCTTCTGTCTTGAGCCACTGTTTGCTTGTTACATGTGTTGGGATGCACTTCTAAGCATGGAGGAAGAGTAATTTGGTACTTCTGTTGCTTGATTTAATTTGTGGACATCTGTTTGATCTCTGCAGATACCTCTGTACTTCTGTGTACAGGATAGGATATGTGGACTATACTGTTTCATGATATTTCATGCCTATACTATAAGTAGCTAACACTTTACTTGTTTCTTTTCTCTTTTTTAGGCTTATGCATCAGGGTGTGATATTGTGATATTGGGTACTGACTTTCAAAGATTACAGATAATCCCTGGGGCAAAACATGGAAACATTCAAGTGGGATGTGTGGACTGTTCAATGCAACAGGGGAAGGTACGTAGAGCAGTGTTTCTAATGTTAAGTGCCTTCTGTAGAGTGTGTATACTTGAAAGTTACAGCAAATACACAAGCATAAGTAGTAAAATAGCTGATTACTTTGTGTCTTTATATATTATAAGCAGTACAGTGAATGTGAAATAGTAACCATAGACAGGAGATGGCAGAAGATACGTAGGCCTGCACAGGAAGATATAGACATACACAGAGCTGCATAGAAGAGATAGCAAGAATTGGACTAAAAGATTATTAAGATGGAAGCAGGGGTAATATATTCACTATGGTTTCACATTACTGGATGTGTAATTGACGTGCTTTGACATATTAGTGGGTGGCATTAGGTGAGTGCTTCTAAAAAAATCACTTTCAGATCATACAGAAAAGTTATGTTCCTTTCAGGCAATTCTTAAAGGTTCAAAATTGCTCTTGGACAGGGTTTTGCTTTCTTGAATTTTCAGCTTTTCTTTTTCTAATGTGGGTCAACTAGATCAGAAATACTGTATTTTAGACACTATTAGGTTTCAAGTCCTTTTTACACAAGTCTTTCTTAATTTTCCTATTGCAGTAAAAAAGAAATAACCGTGTAAGTCTACACGTTGGGATGTCACAGTGTGATTAAATTATTCAGTAAGAAGTAGGAATTGGCTTCATATTGGCTTATATAGGAGGTTTTTTTTTACTTTGGTGCTTTATTTAACTATGTCCTTGTGAGGAGATAACCTGAGCCTTCTGCATATCACTACAAGCCTCCTAAGTTCATGAGAACTTTGGTTAGACTCTGGTGTCCATTTTGAGATAAGATTTCTGCATGGAAACCAGTTCATGTTTACATGAGAGGTCTATGATGGTGATCCCCAGCCACTCTCAGTTCTTGCTTTTTAATGTTTGAGTGATGAACTCTTGTAACAGTAGTGAAGGAACTTAAATGAGGAAATGTTCTCCTCTATGTCTCTGGTACCTCACAGCCATAAAGACTGCTTGTGTTTCTCTATTGACTGCTGTTAACTAGAGAGTGTTTTTGAGTTCACTGGCTGTTTATTAACAAATGGTGAAGTACACAAGCAGATCACATACCACAGTTAATTGTAAAATTTTCTTCAAATTTGCGAGGTCATCTTCACTATATAATAGCAGTTCTGTATGCATTTAAATTACAAACTGTCCTTGAATTGTAAATTAACACGTGAATATATAAAAATATCAAGCTTACTAAGCTTTAGAAATTATTTGTTTCTTAAGTAGACCAATGTGGTCATTTTGATTCTGCAAGTTGATATTGTTTGCTCTTAGCAATTTAACTACATGTATTTGCAGAGTACTGAAATACTGAAAGGCTAGGAATCTACTTACTGACTGGACTCATTAATACATTTTCAGTTCACTGTTGCAAGGATGGTGTTTAGGGGAGAACTTTGTGGAGTAGGGATGATGGTTGGACTCAGTGATCCCAAGAGTCTTTTCCAACTTGAGTAGTTCCATGATTCTATTCTTTCCCTCTATTCTGCTGTGGTGACGCTGCATCTGGAATAGTGCATCCAGTTGTGGGCCCCTCAGTTCAAGAAGGACAGGGAACTGCTTGATAACGTCCAGTGCAGAGCCACAAAAATGATTAAGGGAGTGGAACATCTCCCTTATGAAGAAAGGCTGAGGGAGCTGGGTCTCTTTAGCTTGGAGGAGACTGAGGGAGGAGACTGTTTAGAAGTATGTTAAGAGCAACTATTGGGACGACAGAGCCAGGCTTTTTTCAGTGATGTCCAGTGATAGGACAAGGGTCAGTGGGTGCAAACTGGAACATACGAGGTTCCATTTAAACATCAGAAAAAACTTCTTTACTGTGAGAGTGACAGAGCACTGAACAGGCTGCCCAGAGAGGTTGTGGAGTCTCCTTCTCTGGAGACATTCAAAACCCACCTGGACACATTCCTGTGTGATGTGCTCTAAGTGATCCTGCTTTGGCAGAGGGACTGGAGTAGATGATCTTTCGAGGTCCCTTCCAACCCCTGTGATTCTGTGGAGGGCTGCTATCAAGCATTTTTTTCTGTAATAGCTGGCTTTTACTCTCTTTGAAGTGTCTCCATCATTTTCCTTTTGGATGACAGAATTGGTTTGCAAGCTAAGTTATTTTCTATTTATGAAAGCAACAAGTTGATTTTTTTTTTTTCCATTTCTGCCTCTTTAATCTATTTCTAGTTTATTGGGGAACTAGAGTCAGGTGCAACTTCTTTGAAGTAGCAACAGCTTAGAAGTTCATTCATGACCCACCTCTCCCTGCGCTTTCAAGGGTGGCAAAAACATGTCACCGTCTTTTTTTCTCTTCCTATTCTAGTTTTGGAGATAAACTTGATTCTTTGTCTTCAAGAGTGAGATGAGGGGAAAAAAAATTTTATAATCCCCAAAAAGCATGTATGTATATGTTTATCTTTATATGTGTTTGTATGTTTATGTATATTTTACAAAGTCTCCCATAGGTTTGCAAGGGCTGATTTAAAAAACAGGACAATTATACTTTTAGGCCACTGAATCCAATCTCTTTCTTCTGGTTATAGGCAACTTGGTAACCCACAATTTGTTTGTAAGTACAGTACTTGATTGTCTCCCACACAGTGTACATAAGTGTGGGATGTTCCCTCTAGTGAACATAAGTAACTTACTGAGAGTGCACGCACTACCACTTTCTAACATTATGAATGACTGTAATCTCTCTTACAACTCAGTACAGCTTCTCTGCACACTTATTTCTAATAATAGGACTTGTGACAACAATAGAGATTTTGTTGATGTCTGGGTAGTTATTGTGGTAGTTTGGAGAATTCTCGAACACAAATATTTGTTCTTTTTGTTGACATGCTGCTCAGTGAGGACTAGTCTGAGTGGCAGGATCGTTGTGAAAGCCTGTGGAAACTTTGAGGGAGTAGCAGTTGCTCTAGATAGTATCTGTTTAGCATTTTGGCATGCTAATGTTAGTTTGTCTTAAAGACTCACTAAACAGTGAAAAATTACAAGAACTGTCCACACCTGGAGGAACAGGAAAACTATAATTAATAGAGGTTTGTATAAGCTTGCTGTTGGAGTGAGGAATGGAATTTGGAGAGTAAAAGTAATTGAAGTGAAGAGAATTAGAGAGGGCAAAGATGAGTCTGAGATGTAAGGAAAAAGTTTCTTCAGGCATTTTTGCAACTGTGACAGAATTATTCTTGGCATTTTTGGGTCAGTCTGATGTTTAGGTTGTTAATGTGATACGAATTTATTCAACTGTATATTTTTTATGCAGAGGGTTTCTCTTGAAGATATTGATATATAGAATTTAGGATCTCTGTTCATCTGTATATTTGCAGTTAATGGATCACGTATGTGTGTAGTCAGTGGATCTGTGCATAACAACTTAGATAAATATGACAGGTCAATGGTTTTTTTTTTTGTCTTAAAACTGTTGAGACCAATATTGAAATAAAATTGTACTTCATAAAGTGACTCTTAACTTTCTTAAATGTTGTGAATGATTTCTGAGCTGGAATTTCAGAGAATTAGCAAATTGACTGTTGCTGCATATCAGAACTGTAGATGTGCTGCATTTAACAGTAAACGTCAGGATGTGAGCTTGATATTTATCTAAAAAGACGTTTAAAAGTAGAATCTACAATTTGCATTTTATTCTTGTTTGTTCTATAGCTTGTGTCTTTGTGTGTTTATGTATATATAAATATAAATTGCTTTAGATTGCAGCTTCCTATGGAAAGGTGATTTGTATCTTTGAGCCAGTTAGCATCTTGAAGGAGAACGGCAGTCATCATGATGTAAGTAATTAGTCACTCCTTAATTCCTTTGCTCAGTTACAAGGCCCAACTAATTTTTATGGTTTGCTTTAAAGTTGAATGTTTGTTTGGATTTATTCTTTTAATGATATAATAAAATGGAGGCATAAGATGGTTCTTGGGAAAGGAAAATAGTAGGTGGAGGTCGGAGACATGTAATTTGGAAGATTTAATTTTTTTTTAATAGGTTTTACTGTAATACTTCATATTACTGATTTATCTAACCCCACAATTCGTAACTGAAATATTCCAGAAGTTCTTCACACCTTTGTTCTCTAAGGAGCATACCTGGTGTGTTTTACAGTTCTGCTTTAATTTTCATGTATGGAACTGTGTGCTCTTGGTCAAATCCATAATAGTTTTTAAAAGTCTGTGGCTTTTTTAGAATATCTGATTGCATGCTTATATTTCATTCTTTTATAAAAGTGAATAAGAACAGTATTCTTTTGATAGCAACTGTCAGTGACAGTTTAGTGGTTTAGGGAATTAGCAGCCAAAATCTTAGTTTCTGGATAATAATAAGTTTTAGTGCTAGTTATTTAGCCATCCTTCTTACATGGAGAGAATTGCTTTTATAATTAGAAGCATTAGTGTCTAATTAAAGGCAGTTTGAGAGCTTTGACAGCACTTGCTCTGTCTTTGTCTTCAGGGATTTAGTTGTTTGTATAAAGAATTGTTTACATGGCTGTGTAGTAGATGCTTTTCTTTAAACTAACAAGTTCAGTCATAGGGCTCCTCGTATATCTGTAAACCAGTGGTATTTTAATATATTAAGTATCTGGTATTGAATATATATATATACACTAAATTATACCACTGAAAGCAGTGGAATAAAATATTGCTAAAATGTAACTTCCTATGCTTATATGAACTTTTTAGAAGTACTGCTCTCTTTTTTTGGTTATTGGAGCTGTGGAATCCATCCTGAATATTTTTCTATACTGGTAAATGGCACACTTACCTTGAAACTTCAAAGTTAGCATAGTCACTGTAAGCAGCAGAGAAAGCAGTGTCCATCCATGATTTGCTTTCAAGTATTTATAGTCAAGGAAACACTCTTATTTTATTCTTGCAGTTAGCCCCTATGCAATTATTTCCAGTGTATTTAGGTTGTTGTAAGATTGTATCTGTCTTTCATATAATAGAATGTTTGGGATCTAAAAAATAATAACAAATGAACCAACAAAAAAGCCCCCCTGCATCAGAAATGTTTAATTTAGCTCCTTATCTGCAGATAGTTCTTACTGTTTTCTACTAAACTTCTGAAAGATTTAGTAATTATATTTCAATTTTCAAATTGATTGGCTTGATATTTTTGCAGTGAGAGAATATCACTTTTCAAAGTGTATCTTTGTGAATTAGGAAAAAAACCTGTTGGTTCTTAATATTAATTCCAGTAAGTTCCTTTTGTAATTCAGTGCTTGAAAACTTTGCAACCTATTATGAAAACAGCCTAGATAAATATTTTGTGAGTTTATCCGTGGCTTGTTCCAGGGAAAGAAGTAATAATGCAAAATCTGAAGATAGCTGACTGTTCTATTTTATATTATAAAAAAGGGGCAATAGTATAATATGTTACATTGACTGTATTGAAATACTGTAATTCAGCTGTACTACTGTTATCAGGCACCAAGTGCACTTAGCGTATTTAATTTTTCATGTATTTCCCTTTTTACAAAAATAAAATCAGACTTCTCTTAAAAAAAAACCCAACAAACTCAGATTCTGATTATTATTTTATATACTTAATTTTTTCAAGATATACTTTTAAAAGAAGAAATAAGAAACTTCTAATAGTATGGTCAGATTAATGGAAAGCTATTTTCATTAAAAATTGGAACAAAACAATTTTTATTACTTAAGCAGTAATTTATTTTAAACACATCCTTTGTAGAAGTTGGGAATTGCAGTGAAGATGTACTATTTCTAATGTGAAAGGGGGAGGGAGGGGAAGGAAGTGTTTTCATACTAATTGTTGTGAATACTGAAAATTTCAGGTGTTACATTATCAGTGGCAAAAGAATGCTCAAATCTTACTGGATGCTATAGCACATAATCTAACATGGGATCCCACAGGTACGTCTAGAATAAAATAAGCACCTACCTATTTGATATTAGAACTGATTTATTATTTAAATTTCACCATTTGAGGACAAGGAAGAGATGTTAGTTTTGTCCCAGCATAACAGAGAATGTCAAGGGGGAGTGAAATCTACCTTTTGTCACTAGTCGTGGGAGAACCAAAATATTGGATGCATCTGCATGGTCTTAATCAGTTATCATAATCATAGCAGTATCTAACTTTTAAATGCTAGATACTTGTTATGGAAGAGGAACATCCAGAGTAGCTCTAGGTGTTTCTTTCAGAGAATAATTTATTTGGGCATTTGATTCATTTTCACAATTTGAAAATTTGTTTATATATGAGAGTATCTTCTTGCAAGATGGAGTCAATCTATAATCCTGTAGTTGACTAAGTAAAAGGCACGCTACTATTATAGTAAATTTCCTATAGAAAAGGTGTTAACATGATATCTGGCATATTTTTCCTTGCAGTTTATTCTTTATTTCTCTGTGTTTCTTTTTTTCTCTCGCTTAATGGAAGTCTATATTTTGCTACTTGTTTTGTAGTTACATTGTTATAAATATTGGTTCTAGGCACTCGCCTTTTGACTGGTTCCAGTTCTCTTCAACTTTGGTCTAATATTCCTTTGGAAAACCCTTCTGACAATGACAATACTGAAACAACAGATGTTGGACTTGGAGAATGGAGGTGTATCTGGCAATGCAAGTAAGAAACTTGTTTAAAATAATTTTTTTAAGTAATTCTTTTTTCCTTGCTGATTTATACCTTTCAGACAAAATACTCTTTGTAGTTCAGTGAAATCCTATAGTATACTGATACTTGATAAATATTATGATATGTTATAAACTTGAACCATATATTCCTTTAATATGTGATGTTTCTTTCTTTGCACAAGATCAGTTGTAATTGATTTTGATGTACTTTGGTTTTTGACCATTCTTCAGCTGTATTGAACACCAGTAAATTACTGAGGGAAGGCTGCTGTTGAGACTTGCTGTAGACTTGGTTCCTTATACAAGAAGTAAGATGAAAGCTGCACATTTGAAAATTATTTCCTTGCAGGACTTCTTAAAATAAGCTTTCTTTGTCACATGTACTGTACCTTTTTTCTTCTCATATTTCCCTGCTTCCACACACCTTTTACTTTTTCTGTGTTTATTCTGAATATTTGGAACACTCATGCAAAGATGGATTGATTCTGTTTTATTGCATCTCTGAATGCTCTTCTTGTATTCATGTTGATTTTTATATTTGTGTCAGACAAGTTTTAGTTTAGTACTCTAGTTTATAAGACAACATATTTCAGGCTCCTTCCTGTCATAGGAAGACTTTTCTAATACGTTAGGTACACTGTTCAGTTGGGACCAGTGTACTATACAGAAGCCTCCTTAAAGAAGCCTCCCAAAGTGGCTGGCTGGAGAGACCCACCTGAAATTATTCTTTATGAAGTACATAGCATTGGTTAGGTATTTCCCTGAAAAAATCCTTTTAATAATCCTTCAGTTGTTCCTTTTCTGTGTACTCTCTAACTTTTAACAAGGATGTGTTTAAAATCCTAAGACCATCCAAATGACAACTGAATATTTTTTTTCCTTTGAATACAATGAATTTTCTGACTAAAAGAAGTTGAAGACTTACTCGGTTTATTGAAACATCTCTGGACCTTCATCTCTCAGCCTGAGAGGTGGAGTCTACCAGTAGGTAGAAGGGTGTGACTGTCACTTTAGAATCTGTGGTTATGTTAACAGTAGTCAGAATGACACAGACACTGCTTTTTCTTTGACCCTTCAATAATATGTTTTCCATTTGTACCATGTACCTTACAGATGTTTTCATAGCTCTCCCATGTGTTTCCTTCCCTCTTACAAACTCTTTTGTGGAGAAGAGAGAGCTGAGTGATGCATACTTTGAACTAGTAGGTCCTGGGAGAGGTTAACAGAGCTTTCCAGAATAATTTTTAAAATAAGGAAAAGATTCCAAATGTCTTTTTATTGGCCCTGCAAGGAGAATGTTGCTTAAATCTAGGTGGAAATTTACTTTCTTTGGTGCATGCATTTTGTAACTGGCTTGCTGTTGTTACTGCACACACTAAACAGATCATGCTTTTGTTGATCTTATGGCTATCTTAATCCTTCCTGAATGTTGTGTTTTACAGTTCCTTATATGTGTCTAATAAATTCAAGGTGAAAACCTACGCTGTAGTTGTGCTGCACAATTAAGTTTTTGTAGTTCTTGTTGCCATTAATAAGCCTGTCACTTTAGGTAATAGGTTGGTGCTTCAAAACCTGTTGAAGAAGCTCATTTATTAGTATTTCCAATGACAGTAAAACACAGCAAAAATGAACCATATGTTTAGGTGTAGATTATTTTGGTGTGCCATTTTTTACCAGTGTGACCGTACTTCTTGGCTACAATGTTCTTTTATGCCATTTTGTTTTTCTGAGTTATAACTATGGGAAGTATGAGAAATGGATCTGTCTTTCAGATAAGTTGGAACATAGGATGTAACAGCAGAAATAAATTTGAAATATAAAGAATTGTTAAGTGGAAGTTAAGCATATCTGCCTTCAGTTTAATCTGTTAGGAGCTGTTTTTTTATTACAATATTTTGGAATACTGGATATTGTAGCAACCTCAGCTGTGGCTTTTTGGTTTTCTGATTTTCCTGTATGTTCAAAAACTTGTTACACAGAAGTCCTAGTCCTTGAAGTCTTTCTAAAGCTTAAGTTGTTTCACACAGTACAACAGATGCTTGCATTTAAGAATTAAATCATTTTCATGAACTCAAGGGGCGAAAGCTGTTTTGAGTTCTAAGAAAGTTCTTAACTTTGTCTTTATTTCATAGAACTGCTTCTCAAGTTTGTCTAATGAAGTTCTCACCAGATGGGGAGTTCTTTGCTACTGCTGGAAAGGTAAGTATATTTTTCTAATTGTTTTGTACTAATTCAGGTAAGCTATTAAAGCAAGCAAACAAAACAAAAGCACTTTTTTTTTTTTTTTTTAAAAAAAAGCACTATTCACTGAAAATCTTTATTATTTTTTGTGTAGTATTTTCAGTAATCCTTCTATGCATCTTAACATTTTGGTATATAAAAAATTGGGAAACAGGTACTTGGGGGAGGAACAAACATTCACTGTTTACTATTTTAAAATACCCATTTTTTAATCAGTACCAAATTACAAGACATCAGAAATAGAAGAGTTTTGGGGATGGAGGAATATCTGTGTATGAGCTCACTGATGGATACTCTTCCAGTGAGGAAATATATTTAAAGTTTCACTAGTATCCTGACACCACTAGTCCAAAATAGCTTTTTAATATCTTTTTGAGTACATGTGTCTGTATGTTTGTTTGTTTACATAGACGAGAATTCACATTCCCCTCCACAGGTATATTTGCACATAGTTAAGGTCAGTGTTCATGTCCAGTCTTGCAGATTAGTTTGGTTTGCTCAGCATTGAGTGGTTTATCAGCAAAAGCGACAAAATCCCTTGGCAAAATAAGCAAAAAAATTAAAGCAAAATGTCACATCTTTTTACTTCCTGAAACACTAACAAACTGATCTTTTATTTGTACTACAAAACTTGTTGTTCAGGTTTTGTAAGAGAACATAAGTCAAAGCAGAAAAAACCAAGATAATCTGGAAGATCCAGTGAAAAGCTGTGACAAATCCATATGAAAATATATATTTCTTGTCAAAGATGTGAAATAAGTAGTTTTCTACGAATCATAGAATCATAGGGGTTGGAAGGGACCTCAAAAGATCATCTAGTCCAACCCCCCTGCCAGAGCAAGGTCACCTAGAGTACATCACACAGGAACGCATCCAGGTGGGTTTTGAATGTCTCCAGTGAAGGAGACTCCACAACCTCCCTGGGCAGCCTGTTCCAGGGCTCTGTCACTCTCACAGTAAAAAAAATTTTTCAGATATTCACCTTGAACCTCCTTTGCTCCAATTTGCACCCATTACCCCTTGTCCTATCACTGGTCATCACTGAGAAAAGCCTAACTCCATCTTCCTGACACTCACCCCTTACATATTTATAAACATTGATGAGGTCACCCCTCAGTCTCCTTTTCTTCAAGCTAAAGAGATCCAGCTCCCTCAGCCTTGACACTGACATTGATCAAAAAACTCAGGTTAGAAAATCCAGGCCCATTTTGTGGGAATTTATGAAATTATCAAAGTAGGTAGTGGGAAAAAAATGTTTTCGGATTACTGTTTTTAAAAAATAAACTGAAAACGTAACAGTAAAAACAGTTTTAACAATGATTAACAGATACAGGTAGCCATCAAGTTTGTGCTGCCAACTAAGGAATCCAGCAGAAACTTGAGAATTACTGAAAAGGAAAAAAATGCTAGTATATAAGGTTAGTTTAGAAAATGTTACAGATGAGACTAATGACACTTCTTTAAGTGTCACAGAATCCAGAGCAGAACCTGAGAGAATAAGTTTCAGATGTAAGAATGAAAAGCAGTTGTGTAGTTTGGTCTAGTCTGCCTCAGAAGCATAAATGTACCTCAAAAGATCATCTAGTCCAACCCCCCTGCCAGAGCAAGGTCACCTAGAGTACATCACACAGGAACGCATCCAGGTGGGTTTTGAATGTCTCCAGTGAAGGAGACTCCACAACCTCCCTGGGCAGCCTGTTCCAGGGCTCTGTCACTCTCACAGTAAAAAAAATTTTTCAGATATTCACCTTGAACCTCCTTTGCTCCAATTTGCACCCATTACCCCTTGTCCTATCACTGGTCATCACTGAGAAAAGCCTAACTCCATCTTCCTGACACTCACCCCTTACATATTTATAAACATTGATGAGGTCACCCCTCAGTCTCCTTTTCTTCAAGCTAAAGAGATCCAGCTCCCTCAGCCTTGACACTGACATTGATCAAAAAACTCAGGTTAGAAAATCCAGGCCCATTTTGTGGGAATTTATGAAATTATCAAAGTAGGTAGTGGGAAAAAAATGTTTTCGGATTACTGTTTTTAAAAAATAAACTGAAAACGTAACAGTAAAAACAGTTTTAACAATGATTAACAGATACAGGTAGCCATCAAGTTTGTGCTGCCAACTAAGGAATCCAGCAGAAACTTGAGAATTACTGAAAAGGAAAAAAATGCTAGTATATAAGGTTAGTTTAGAAAATGTTACAGATGAGACTAATGACACTTCTTTAAGTGTCACAGAATCCAGAGCAGAACCTGAGAGAATAAGTTTCAGATGTAAGAATGAAAAGCAGTTGTGTAGTTTGGTCTAGTCTGCCTCAGAAGCATAAATGTAAATTAATAAGTATGCACACAGATTGGCTGGAACATTGCTTGATTTAGTAGAACTGTGTGGAACTCCGCTGTTGCTGTCTGGTTCATGAAGTCCCTTAATACATGCTCAAAGCACAAAGATTCAAGGATTGTTCAGTTTGCAAGTCAAGTCTGGCTTTTAAAATGTAGTTGTCATGCATATTTTCATTATTCAGTTGTATGCATCAAGAACAGATGAGTAAAACATTTTTCTTAGTTGTAGGTGTTTGTTTTCTCCCTCTAAAGTTTGCCATTTCAGATCATTATGCTTGTTTAGAAGACTAGATTTTCAAGCATTTGCTATCTTTAAGGAAGTGATAAAGATACAACAAATCTGTAAAATTATCTAGATTTCTTTTTGTAGGTAAACCATATTCCAATTGACTAGTTTCCAAGATGTGAAATGAAATCCTAGACTTTCTTGGTGATAAACTGTACTCCATGTAATAAAAATGCAACAAGTTTTCATACTCCATTCCTGTTTTGCTTTTTTTGGATGTCATATTGCTTGCTGTATGTTCTGAGGTCTCTTTACCCATTTATTATCTGAAAGGAGGGTAATTCCAGTAATGTTTAAGATAACTATTAGTTATGCAACTGTTTGAGTACAGGTTTTATTTAAAAAACCATATATTTTGTCATTGTTGATGATATATACTGTATGTATTTCACTATTTTTTAAAATCAATAGGAGTTCACATTATTTTACAAGTCAAGTTTTAATGGATTCTAATGTTATAATACAATTGAATTGTGGAAAAAAATGTATTAATCTGCAAATAGCTTCTAGAGGGATAATTTCCTTGCGTTTTTTGACTGGAGTATCTTGTGTTCTGTAGTGTTTTGCTATAAGCTCATGCAAAGCACAATTAGTAAGTAGGAAAAAACTATGAACTAAGTAGGAAAATTAAAAATTATCATAAATTGCTAAATTTCCTGCAGAATCTTTAAAACACATCTTGGTTTCTGTGTCTTCTTTGTTTAATGTTTTATGAGAGAAGATGCTGGTCAGTGAAACAACCACCACCTCCTCCTCCCCCATGTCATGTTAAGGATACCCAGATTAATACATTATTTCATTACTGTTCATATTTAAAAGCTGATCAAAAACGTATGAATCTCAGAATCACAGAATCGTTCTGGTTTCAGAAGAACTTTCAGATCAAGTCCAACCTTTAACCTGACTTAACCATTAACCTAACTCTCCTGAGTCCAGTGCTGAGCCATATACCTGAGCACCACATCTACACTTTTTTTTAAGCACCTCCAGGGGTAGTGATTCAACTACCTATTTTGCAAGGGCATCTGGGGAGCTGTGATAGTTCCTGGAGAGACATACCTGCTGTGCTGGGCAGGACCTTCCTACAATTTACCCCTATACTCTTAAGTCACCTCATTGATTCAGGCAGAAGGGATAGGGACTACTTCATGTCATGAGCCCTGTTAGTCTATTGGGCTAGTTTCAGAGAGGGTAGATGGTGGCTCTAGTGGTCTTCTCTCTTTCTTGCATTCCCTGATGCTTCATAACTTACTCACCCCCTCCCAAATCTTCATCACAAAGTGGAGGAATTCCTCCACCTGGGCACACTTCCCACAGGTGTGCTTACTGCTGCCATCCGATAATGGTGTGTGAGTAGGGTGCAAACACACCTGCATGGCAGCATTTTCCCAGGAGAGCTCAGTCTGGGAAGCTGCATCAACCCTAGAGTGTGCAGAGCTGAGGCATGCCATGGCTTTGTGCCAGCTGGATAGCATAATTCCCTAGCTGAGCTTCGCTGCCCTCCCTGTGTGCCCTTCCTGGATGCCCTTTCAAACAAACTCAAGTGCCCTGCTCTGGCTGAGGCATAGTGTTTGCTCACTCTGTTCACAAATCTCCTGGTCACTAGCGCTCCCTAGGCTGCTTTTTATAAGCAGGGTATTGTCCCTCGTTCTGTGCTAGTTTATCCGGTCCTTAAAGGCATAAGGACGAGGACACTAGGAACATGATGTTTTCAGTTACTGTGTATGCAGACTGAGCAGTAGTGAGTTTGATTTTTTGAGTTGTAGTCTTTTGTTTGTATTCCTAGTGCTTAAATTAGTATCTGTAAGTTTTGGGGGTTTTCTGTCAAAGTAAAAGTAGTTGTACTGGCTTGAACTGGTATTCAAATTTTCATACAACTTGTAGTTTTGCGCATAAAAACTTGCAGCTAATAAGGAGGTGCAGAGTTAAATGGAAGTTATTAATGGCAAGAGAGATTAAAAGGAAACTCTGCTACATTGTTTTTTTCTAAGATCACGTTTTGAAGTTCTTTTTACTGAACTGGCTTTCTGTCATCCAAAAAGTACTTAAAACAAAATGAAAACTCAGGAGACATACCCAGAAGTACTGAAGATGCATCATATTCTTATTTACTGTCCTTTTTCTTTCCTCAGGATGATTGTCTTGTGAAAGTGTGGTACAATACAGACAGCTGGCGATCAGCTGTAACGCCACCTGGTGCAAGTCCAGAAAAACAAGTAAAGGAAGTTGATTTTTCATTTGTTTATTTGGCTCATCCTCGATCAGTGAATGCATTTTCATGGAGGAAGACTAGTAAATTCATGCCACGGTCAGTAGTTCTAATAATCTCAGTTTTACAGATTGCCCAAAAAATCCTGAGCTGTACCATCTTCCTAGATGTACTGTCAACAGTAACAGAAGTTGTACAGTTTAGTTCAGTTAATAATTGAGTTTGCAGACCTTGTATATTGTTAGTATATGTTTGTAGAATTCCTTCACACTGAAGTTCTTGAGAGGGCAGTAAGCATCGTTTTGTCTGGAAAGATAAAAAGGAAATCCCTCAGACTGGCTTAGAGATTAGAATAAATATAAAATGAGCTCTTGCAAAAATAGTTCTCTCTGTCTTTTTGATTGCACTGTCTTGAATGATCATCCATGCATTTGATCTCAGTTTGTTCCTCTCTTATCTGTCCTAATGGAATCAGCAATTCAAAAATGCTATCACTTTGTCATCTTTTTCAAACATCTAAGTATTTCTGTGTCTTGTTTCTCTACCTAATGTGAACTAGATCTCTGTCAGAAACAGTATCTGGAAATTTAATAAAAATGATCATTTGGAATTGATATTTTGGGTTTGATTTTTTTTTTTGAGTGGTCTAACAATTCCTAAATGGCCTGTCTCTAGTTTTCATCAATAATTGTCCTGACAAACTGAAAGGGCATTACCAATTCTTTGCCTTGCATCCATCTTTTTGGTGTATTATTCCAGATACTAGCCTCTTGAATTCCACATACTTTTGTGTTTAAACAAGTTTATGCTGTCGTTTGCACTGACTTTGAAGTAGAAAACCCTTTGTAAGGCCATGACTGTAGTCTCTAAATTATTTTTCAAAATCCATGTAGTCTATTATGTCTAAGGGAGTTTGCTGCTGGACAGGCCAGTTAGATGTTCCATATAGTTCTCAGGTCTTAGTTAAAACTAAATTGTGAACTTGTCTGAACTGGAAACATGATGTGCTGCATATTTTTTTCAGTATCTTTGTTTAGGTTAATTGGATTTTTTATATGTATAAAACAAAAATTGCATTTGGAAAAAGAGTAGTTAATAGAAGTGTGTATTTTTAAATTTGCTATTGTATTTCTTGTATTATCTTGGTTTCTCCCATTTGTATGTATTGTTTTATAACTGCTAGGTAGCAGTAAGATCTGGGGAACTGACAACAGGAATGCAGAATCTGGTTAGATTTTTATCTGAAGGACTTTAAAAAGGAAAACATAAGAATAAAAATAGAAATTCCAATTGTGACTTATTCTGTAAGTTGAAATCTGTGATTTAGTGTTGCACTGTTGTGTAATGAAGTTTGAAGTAATTTATATCCAGATATTTGAACAGTTGTGGAAGCCTTTCATACAGAATCTCTTTTCCTAGGAATGTGTTGAGATTTTCTTTCCTTAGTATCTTTAAGCTACTTGGTGCAGTTTTAAAAACTGATAATGCAATATTTTGTGGCACGGTTGTTTTATTTTGATGCTATGTGATAGTAAGCAGCCTCTTCACACCTAAAATTTTGTTTTTGTTAGTGGTGCTGTCTGCAATGTACTCCTCACTTGCTGTAAGGATAATGTCTGTCGTCTCTGGGCAGAGACTTTGTTACCCAATGACAGTCTGTTGTGTGGTGGAGGAAACAACAACTGGAGTGAAGCAGTGACCTTAACAAATAACTTCAAGAGAAATACTTCGAGTAAGGACAAAGTGCAAAGTGCTTTAGAGGTAAGAGATGAAATCGAATAGTGAGAATAAACACATGTACACACACATAGTTTTAGACAGTTAGTAACTTGAACATGTAAGCTGAACTCCTTCATATCGTTAATGTTTGTAAGATGATGTAAAAGATTGAATTCACTTGAAATCTTGCTTAGGAAGTCTAAGCTGATAGCTGTTCTACTGAACTTTCACATTAGAAGACACTCTTCTTACATCACTTCTGCCTGTTTTGCTCTGGTGACTGAAGCTGTGTTCTTTGATGTATCAAGTTCGGAGAGCTGGGAACAATATGGAGTGCATACTGTTTATAGGTTACAGAAACCCACTAATAATGCTGCCTTAAAATATAAAGTAGTAGTTCACCTGTTACCTCTGAAGTTTTTTGTGTCTTCTGCAACTGGAAGAATGATGGTAATGCAAGCAAGTTGGAGAGGGTTTTGAGTAACCTGGTCTAGAGGAAGGTGTCCCTTCTCATGGTAGCGTGATTGGAACTATATGATCTTTAAGGTCCCTTCCAGCTCAAGTAATTCTAATATAATACAAAAGGAAGAAATATAGCCTTGGTTGCCTTTCTGCAAGCAGAACTGCTTGTAAACAGCACCTCTATGTCAGACGATCCTTAGCAGGTAGGAGGGACGTGAGTGAAGAATTAGTAGTGTCCTACAAAACTGTATAGAGAGTATGTGGGCATTGTGCTTTTATCTTAATTTAGTGATAGATTTAGCATGCTCATGGTGCTTTCTTGGCATATGTGGCATAGATGAAAAGTGTGACGGGCTGAAAGGCAGAACACAGAAAAAAATATTCAAAGGGAAGAGGAGAAGGGATGTTGGAAACCGTTGTGTTCCTGTTGAAGGTATGAGGCAATGTTACAGATGTAAGTTACTTAAATAAGTAAGAAATAAGTTACTTGAAAATTGAGAGAAAACTGTTCTATGTGAGAATGATATGGTAAGAATGGCAAGTGAAAAGGAATGCTAGGAGTATAATTACCATCGTTGATACAAATTGTGTACTTTCTTGTACCTTTTGTTCCCAATATAGGTATCTACAGAATGATGGGCTTAAACTATGCAGTATGTGGAGTAAGACTTTTTAATACTGGCATAGTCCATCTTAAAAATTATTTTCCCTCAGAAACATGTATTTGCATAAAGGAAGGAAGACCTTAAAATTCCCTGGGCCCTCTGGTGGGAGTGAAAGTATTCATCTAATCAGATCCGAAATACTGATCCAGTTTTTCAGTCTGTGAAAGGACATTATTCAGTTTTGCTGTATTTTTGGTTGTTTTGTTTTTATCTTGTTGTGTTGGCTTTTTTTCTCAAGATCTTACATAAGCTTAGTATACATTTACGAAGCACAGTAGTATTTTCTGTTTTAAGTATAAAAAAAGTATGGGCATTGTCTACGCACTGATACATGGAGCAGTTACATGGTACTGTGTGGGCCTCCATAAATTAGTCTGAAGGCATTATCTTTATGTCAGGCACAACCTGAACACTGCAAGAAACTCTGATGCTTTGAAGTAGCTTTTAAAATGAAAACTTGAATTCACTAGTATCAAGAAAACCAGTTAGAGATGAAATCTGCTTTTTCTTTTTGAAAGGAATTAAAATGACACCTTGTTCTTCATGCAGTTAAACCTAAGGCACTTTCGACGAGGAAGGAGGAGGTCGGGTGCTGTTGTAGCACATACTGGATTTGCTCCACATCAGCGAGATCCCCATGAAGTTCACAGGAACATTACTCCTCATGCAAATGCACTTTGTCACTTCCATATTGCTGCCAGTATCAATCCAGCCACAGGTAAGAAGTGTGGTAAACCCTTGTCACAGGGCGAGTTACAATTTCTGATAGTTTTCTGTAAGCTTAACTGGCTCAGAGGTATTTGTACATTATTTACATAATAATGCAAAATTACTAGCTTGTTGTTTTCATTTCATGCATGAAAGAACCTTCTCCTACAGTAATGAATTTATTTGATTAAATTCCCACCACAGTAATCCTCTTTCATTTTTGGTCATCTTTAAGCTGAGGTTCACCATGGTCTGAGATCTGGAAGGCTAAGTATGTGTAATTGGGTTTACAGTTTTACTAAGAATTGTTTATCATGTTGGGAGCGCACAAATAAAAAAGCATCTTAAAATTACCTAACACTAAGTGTCTGAAGTAACAACACAATCCTGTACTTTTGTTCTGTCTCTGAAGCAAGGAAAACATGCCTTCGTCTTGTGTTCCATAAAGTTTAATACCTCCTTCCACTCCAGTAAGGTATTGGTAGACTTTAAGGAAAATCCTTTATAGTTGCTACTATTTCTGCCTTTGTATTTGTTTGTGCGTGCTGAGAATGAAGTGCTTGTCTGCTCAGTGAAAACCTGAATAGAAATGCAGTATTGAGTGGCCTTTCATTAAGGTTTTAGTGCTCTGATGTAATTTCCTGTTTCTAAACAAAATGAACAAGCATACAAACTTTTCATGAAGTCATTAAGCTCAGTCCTATAAGTAGTATTTTTAAATTGCTTTTTTGTTCTTATTGCACCTTGTGTGAAAGGCCAGTTTTGACATAAAGATAGTCAGGACTAGTTCATATTTATGGTTGTAAAGTCTTTTGTGTGGTTATGAAGAACTGTTGGTTTCCGCTACCATTGCTGGGCTAAGCAAGCTGTAAACACCTTCTCCTGAGAGGTTAGAGTTAGCCTTCACTTTTTTACAATTGGTTCATGTTGCTTTTAATAGATGTGACTAGAACCACATCCAGCCTACCAGAAGGTAGGCTTCTTGCAGTTATGTGCTGTACCATCAGTCCTATCCTGTTCTATTTCTACAGGAAATATCTCTAGTCATTACATGTGTTACTACCCACTGTCATAAAGGAAATTTTCTGCAAAGCTTCTTGGAGATTTGGAGATCCCCTCTTCTGTGTCTTCATATTGCACGAAAGCTAACTAACCTTTTTGTGTGGCTAGCACATAATCCTTCCCTGTCTTTTTTTTTTTTTTTAATTTCTACTCTTAATGCATTTCTTTCCTTACTCATTTATACGTGACATTTAAGTAAACTTAATGTCATTTTCAGTAGTCTTTGCAATATAAATGTGCTCAACTGCAAACTCATAGAATGGGAATAAGAATAATTCTGAGAAATATGATATAATGTCTTCCAATGTGTCTGGCACTTGTCTTTGGCCATTTTGGTCTTGTGTTCCTTCTATGCTATTTGTATTATCTGTCTTGATACTGTGTTTTGGATCATGTGGTCTTTAACTCAGTAGATTGGAGGATAACAGATTGTTCTTTAATGCAAAACCTCTGAAGTAACTTGCACATCTTAAATCCTAGTTTGAAGAAATAGCCATTCTCCCTTACAGTCAAGCCCTTAAGTACTTCAGTCCAACCAGATTATCTAAGCAGTCCTTTTAGTGTGCCCTTTTCAAATTAATCTGAAAACCTAATTGTATTTTATTCTATTTAAACTAAATCAGTTTATGATCTTTCATTTGAAAATTTGCTCTTATTAGAGCATTTGGAGTCCTTGAGAAGGCCAGAGCATCTTTATTTCTCATTCACTTCACTTTTTGAAGAAGAGTAATGCTTTTGAAGAAGAATAAATATTGTTTGGTTTTTTAAAAAGCTTTTATTGCATTTGTGTTCTGTTGTTAATTTTAAAACTAATTTTCTTGCAGGAATAAAGTCCTTGAGACCTTCTTTTATACTAGTGTTACTTAAACTAGTATTCAGCTTGGGTGTGGAGTTCAGTGAATGGAATAAGCAGTGGTTGTGAGGACAATATCTCTAGGCAAATCCAGAAAAACTTACTGAATCCAAAGACCTTTAGAATGTTTCTGGAAAAAGTAAATGTGAATTATTAAGCGAATAGAAATTCACTATGGACTTTGTCCAGAGCTGAGCATCAGTTAGCAGTTTGTAGCTTTGAGGTAGGAGAATGGGAAAAAATGGGGGGTATTTTTTTGTGATCTTTTTATATATACTCAAAGTACAGAGATTCATAATCTAATCTGAAAAGTAATCTTTCTACTTGACCTTCTTTTTCATGCTTACTTCAGCTTCACCTTCCAAAGAGAATTCAACAGAATTCTTCCTTCCACATTGTTTTTGCTAAATGTACTATGATGTTTTTGAGACTGGCATTAATTGATCCTTTTCAGGAAGTCAGACTATTTCTTAAATGCTCCATTCTCCTGTTGAGCCCTTCCCCTGCTGCACCCCCTTCCCACAGTAACATTGCTGATGGTCATAGTGGTACTTTCTTCTATCTGTGTACTCTCAGTTATCCTTGTCTTAGGCTAGATGGGAGGGTAAATATTTCAAAGCTAGCTTTTTAAAAAAACAAACAATTAGAATTTGAGTAAAAAATATTTTTATCCCAGGGCATGAGATTTAAGTAATGCAGTGTAACTAGGGAGCAGAAGATGAGAATATGTATGAACTACATGGTTTTCAAAAATGTCAACATCTTTTTCTGGTAGATATTCCTCTGCTCCCTTCTATCACATCTCTGAGTCTTGGTGGAAATGAAGAAAAAAGTGGACCTTTTGTTGTGCACTGGCTAAACAATAAAGAACTTCATTTTACCTTATCTATGGAAGTATTTTTGCAGCAACTTAAGAAGAGTTTTGAACATCATTCTGAGACTAACACCGAGGAATCTAATCAAATGGATGGGAGATCAGAGGAAGGTAAAAGTCTTATACACAAATGATTTTCATTTTACAAAGTAATTTGTACTGTTCTTTCATGTGCAGTAAGAGGCAGGCAATTTGACTGTAAGGATAGAGACAGATTACAGTAGCGTTTCTATGCACTTCCTTCCCTTATGCTGGAAGTACCTAAGTGACTCTTAAAAATCTGTATCTAAACATTCTGAATTTGTTTATGGTTGTTAAAAAAATTTTGAGTTCTTTATTCTGAAAGCTGTAGTACTTAGGCCAACCTGGAGACCTTTGCATGGGAGTGCTTTATTATAACATTTTTTAAGGAAGAAGGTGCAACGTTAGGATTAACTTTATTTTTGAAGTGCTAACATAAATCTAATTTAAATGTCTTTATTCTCCAAGATAATACAGTCAATTAATTTAAATAAATACAGTTTGAAGATGACTGCTTGCAAAAAAAAAATATAAAATGGGGACAAGTAAAAGTGTTTAAGATTCAGTATGAACTGTTTTTGTTAGTCATTTACTGAGGTCTGCTAGAGAATTTCTGGTTAAAACTCTTATTTTAAATTGGTACTTACATGAGTGGCTTATGAAAGGCCTGAAAAATGCTGCAATGCCTGAATAATGCTGCTTTCAATTATTCTGCTTTTGAATATAAAAGATACAAATCTCTGTGTGTTCTAGAAGTTGATGAAACTGGAGATGAACAGAAGGGGATCCAAGAAAAGAAGGAACTGGGTGATGAGAAGGCTACTCCAAATTCAAGCCTGGTTCCTTTGTCTTCTGCTATTATTGATCATGAAATTGAAGTACTACTTTCTGAATGGAGTAAAAATGCTGACATGCTTTTCAGTATACATCCTATGGATGGTTCACTGCTAGTGTGGCATGTGGACTGGCTAGACGAATACCAGCCTGGCATGTTTCGCCAGGTGCAGGTACTTTATTTTTTCTGGGTTATGCATTGTTATTTGGTTGGAAGTATGATGAGAAAATTGTTTCAATATTTATTCTTTCTCCCTTAAAATTCCAGGTGTCTTTTGTCTCAAGAATTCCTGTTGCATTTCCAACGGGTGATGCAAACTCTCTATGCCGAAGTATAGTGATGTATGCTTGTACCAAAAATGTTGACTTAGCTATTCAACAAGGCAAACAGAAACCTCCAGGCCTTACACGATCTGCATCTATGCTTATCTCTTCTGGACACAGTAAATCAACAAACAGTTTAAAACTAAGTATCTTCACGCCCAATGTTATGATGATTTCCAAACATGCAGATGGGTCATTGAACCAGTGGCTAGTGAGTTTTGCTGAGGAATCGGCTTTTTCCACTGTACTCAGTATTTCACATAAATCACGATATTGTGGTCACCGTTTTCATCTTAATGACTTAGCTTGCCACTCAGTATTACCTCTGCTGCTTACAACATCACATCACAATGCTCTAATTTCACCTGATGTTGAGAATGCAGAACAGGCAAATGATTCTCAAGAGTCACCAGCAAGATTTCAGAGCAGAAGCAGTGCGAGCCTAACATCACAGGATCCCAATGCAGTTTACAGTGAACTTATTCTTTGGAGAGTTGACCCTGTTGGGCCTTTGTCCTTTTCTGGTGGAGTTTCTGAACTTGCACGGATCAATTCTCTCCATATTTCAGCTTTTTCTAATGTTGCATGGCTGCCCACACTTATACCCAGCTACTGCCTTGGTGAGTTTAATTTCCTCATTTTTGTTCTAAAATAAAAGTAATATAGCCTAATAATGCCATTCACTAGACAATGTAGATACACTTGTATGTGTTGGAAAAAATGTTAAATGTGGGTCCTTTTCACAAACTATTCCTGCATGAAGAATTGCTGTGGTTCTACTTTCTTTTATGTATTTGATAATTCAGGAGCTAATGCAATAAAGTTCTTAGATGATAGCACATACTTCAGAATCTGTTCGCTTAAAGACAGAGATAGATTTTTGTCTTTATTTGCAAATGGGATTCTCATTTCCTTTCATATACTTTGATTTTGTTGCAGAGCACAGCGTATACATTTTTTAGTTCTTGTAAACAGAAGTTAATGAGAGAATTTTTCTTACGTTGTTTTCTTTCATAACTTCAAAATTGCCTATTGCAAAAAAAAACCCAACAAGCAAAACAAAGGGAGAAACTTGGTGTTTGAATGCCTCAGCACTTTTTTGCATTCTTACTTTTTAGGTGCATACTGTAATTCTCCAAGTGCCTGCTTTGTGGCTAGTGATGGACATCATTTGAGGTTATATCAAGCAGTAATAGATGCAAAGAAACTTTTGTGTGAGCTCTCCAATCCAGAAATTTCTGTAAGTGAAAAGCTGTCTCAAGATTTTGGAGGTTGAAACTTCTTTCAGTAGCAGTAGTTTCAGACTTGTTGCCTAACTAAGCTGGTTGCTGAGGGTTTCACAGAATATGGTAGTTCAGCTCTGCTTGTAAAAAGTGATATGGTAAAGCTTTTTAGCATTATAGCCACTCTGCATTCCATTTAATCTCAAACTGCATATCTGAGGCAGGTCGATATTTGGTTGGGACTTCCTCTGAAACACTTTAACTACAAAGAGTAGTAACAGGAATAAACTCTGTGGGCATTGTCCATCATAAGGAAAAGTTGAGATGACAACGCAGCTTAAGGAAAGGACAAAAAACAGCTGAATGTGAGGCCTTCCAGATATTTTAGTCACCTTTCAGCTATCAAAAACCATGTGGCTTTTGTTAAAACTGGGAATGTTACCTGTGTTCTTTGTGGATTACAACCAGTATATATTTAATGCTTTAGTTAATATTTGTTTAGTGATACTGCACCTACCTACCAGGCTGTGCCACAGAATGGCAGTAACTCACAAAACTTCAGATAACAAGACCATCTCTCTGACTCTTTCTGAACAGAAATATGTTGGTGAAGTTTTTAACATCGTAAGTCAGCAATCTACAGCTCGCCCAGGATGTATCATTGAACTGGATGCTATCACAGAGCTTGTAAGTTTTATTTCTGTACTTATTTTTATACCGTAATTAGCTTGTTTTGAAAATGTTAATCATAAAGGCTATGCATGTTGCTCTTCATCAGATGAAGGGGAGGTATTTAAAGATGTATTCTGACATATACTTGCGTTTCATTTCATAGTACAATGAGTAATAAAGGTGTGTGACAGATAAATCTGTCATTGTTGTATATAACTTGCCAAGTTAAAAGTCCTTGTGTTAGAGAGCAATCTTAAGCAATACACTCCAACAATGCTCACTCCCTGTGTGTGTTTCTGCTTTTTTAGCATGGCAAGAAAACACAGTTATTCCATGTTTTTCAAGAAGACTTGATTTTAAATAACGAGGAGAAGGAAATACCTGAAAAGAGGAACAATTTATCAGACTCTGGTAAAGAATTCTTTTTCTTAGAATGTAGAAGACAAAGCATTCAATTTTTCATTCCACAGAGGAAAAAGAATTTGTTCTATAGCTTTTAGAATGTTAAGGTCAAATACCCTATTTTATTTAAGAACTTTGTATAGCAAAGATGAAAACTTAGTCTAATGAAACTCATTGGTGTTTCACTTCCTTTAAGAGCTGTGTAACCAAATTTTAGATAAAGTAGCCTATATAATGAGATATCCATCATGTACTGTGTTGAGCATTCCATTGGTGATACCGTTCTTAGAAGAGGGGAAGAAGGGAGGGAGAATGTAAAACCTGTAGCTGTAGTGTATGAGATAGACAAAGTTTACTGTATCCTTTTTATGATGGTTGTTCATCTGTCATCAGCTAAATATTGTTCCTTTGACCTTGTGTGATACAATGAATTACAGGGGAAAAAAATGCCCTCAAACATAACTATAGAATACAGTACTGTGAGTAGTGTGTGGATTTGTAGGTCTTGGGACAGTCTGAATTGCTTTAGAAGAAATGATCAGTTTTCCTTGGTGGAATGCATCAGTCGTCATGTTTTACAGGCATTCCAGTTCAGAGTAAAGTTCGTGATATGAAATCTCTTGCAATAGTTGTAAGATGAATGCTGAATAAAAGAAAGCAAAACTGAAGCAGTGTCAAAATATTACGTAATGGCTTGGTGCACAAAATTTATTTTTGTTAAAGAAAGTGGCAGGAATCAAGGGAAATATTGCCTGAATATAGGTGGTGATCAATTCTGAATGAGCTGTTTCTAGTCAAGAAAGAGATTTGGAGTAATGGAGACAATCTGTAAAAATGTCAACCCTACGCTCAGTGGAGGTCAAGAAATTGTAAATGAGATGTTGAAAATTAGGAGCAAAATAGAGTACAAAAATAAGCATTACCTTATAGCATGCCTTTATTGTATGTTTTAATCTTGAGTATAATATACAGAAAGGACTTTTAAAGAAGTATGCGAGTTATTTGATTTTAGTAAAGGTCAATTTTACACATATGTATGTGTTCTGAAGTTATGTGTAGATTGCTGGGTAAGAAATGGGGCTAATTGAACCCTTTGCAAAACTGTTAATCATAAAAAAAAAACTGCATATCATTCACATACATTCTAACTCAAAAGTATCTTCTAGTATTATAAAGCTTTGGTTTTAAACAGCCCACTTCTTTTTGTTTAATAAAGCATGTAAATATTTAGCTTGTGTCTTTTTAAAAAAAACAACAAAAACCAAATTAGTTTTCATTTTTCTGCAGTACTGTAAGCAATCCAGTGTCAAAACCACAGGGTAAATACAGCTTATTCTTGATGATGTTTTGTGTGGAGGCACACCTAAAGAAGGGTCAAAGAAATCATGCAGGAAAGGATGTCACTATACTATTTCTTTATCATAATGGGTTTAGTTTGTTGCTACAGATGGGGAATGGGTGTATCCTACAGAAATGGGCTCCTTTTGATACTACAGCTCATGTTTTCTTTGAGTGAAACTGTAGCAAGTAATTTCTTAAGAAGAAATATTTTACCTCTTGTGCTTTCCAGATGATACAGGTCTGTCCAGGTTGTGATCCATTAACCTATTCATGAGACCAGTCTGTGGCTTTCTGAATTGTTGAGGCTGCATTTTTTCTCTAGGTGTAACTCGTGTACTTTTTATACATTAAAGTCTAAACCTCTACCTAATTCATTGTCTTAGGTGTTACAGCTGCCAATAACAGATAGATAGCTAAGAAACTTAGGAGGTAAGCATGTAAAAGGCAAAGATGTAGAGGTGAGGGTACGTTCTGGGATTTAATTTAAGCACAGCAGATTTAGACAAATACGTTGTCCTCTCTAGAAGAAATTTTTGTCAGTTCTTCATGTGTGTGCCTATAATTGTAGTACTTACTGTTTGTGATAAAATACTGAGAAAACTAATATAACAGAGTTGGATGTAGTCAGACCATTGCAATTCAGTATTAGTTCGTGACAGCTTAATATGATTATTTGCTAGTCAGCAAAATTTAGTTGTGCTTTTGAATGAATAAAACCTAACATTTTCCTGTTCTGAATTTTATCAGGAAACCAGCACAATGGATTCTCTGAGAAATTCTATTTAATAGTAGTGGAGTATACTCAAAGTCGTTCATTATTACATATGTGGCATTTACATTTGAAGTCAATTCCTGTCTCAATAGGTAAGCCCTCTTTTTTGTAGTTTTCTGTTGGAAAAAAAAAATAAAAAAATCACTGTCCTGTCAATGCATCTGCTGTTCAGCATATTGTAAAATGTATTTCAGTTTTTTGAAAAGAATCTTCAGTTACAAGCTTTCATGACAACCATTCTTTCTTGGTTACTTAAGCTTCAGAATGCTGAAGCTTTTGAGTTCAGCCTGAACCCAAAGTTTAATACACTTTTTGCATTCTAAGGGCAAATATATTTATTGATTTTTAATAGTCTAGCAGTTCAGATGGTTTGCTTCTCAGTTTTTGTTCTTTTCTTGAATTTGCACATAAATTTGAAATTAAACTGTAGTCCGAAGCACCTAGACGTCAGAGATGCAATTATGAAAAATTTTAGAGTTCTGCAGTCTGCTGGTTCTGTACCACAAACACTATGAAACTTTAAAGTAAGCTAAGTTTTACTTAAGTGCTTTTCTTAAGTGCTTTACTTAAAAGCTTTAAGGAAACACAAATCGGTTGTTCACTACATACCAGAGGAGTCTGTTAAACCGAATCGGTAGTTGTCTTACTGTTGTTTGCAAAGGCAGATTTTCATCACTTATTTTAAGTATTATTGCAATTAGTCTGTAAGTGGTGAGAGAGACTAAATATCCAGATTTTCTGATCTACTTAAATGATGAGGACCTTACTGATTAGACTTCTCAACCAACCAATTGGTTGGCAGTTTTCATGTTGCAAATCCATCAGATTCACACTGTAACTATTGAGTATTATGGATACATGATTACTTTCTTTTTTTAATATCACATAATCTCAGAGGTGCTACTTTTTAAGCAAATACTAACAAAACTTCTGGAAAATACTTCTGCCCCAATTTGTAAGGTAAGACATGGAAGTCTAAACAGAATTTTCTCTAGCTACTGGCATTTTATTCTTTATGAAACACTAATTTTCATGGATAACTGCATACATACATCTGTCGTCTCTAGTTTTGGTGTTTCTGGTTACAGTTTCACTGTTTTAAGTGTAATAAGTTTAAAACTAACTTTTCAACAGTTCTAGAATTTCAGAAGTATTTCATGGGAAGTGTGCTAGCATTTTTCTTTGAATTTGGATATGGGAATGCATTTCATTAAAATGAAACTAAAATATGATGTCATGTTTTATCTGTCTCTTTGGACTTTTTAAGGTGAGTAAAATTACTACTTAGATTTAAAGAAATAATTGACTTTTTCAAATTAACAATGTTAACTATTTTTTTTAGATGAAAAGATAGATTCAAATACATCTGAAGCAGCAACACGAATAGAAGTACATTCTTCACCAGATCCAGAGAAGATCCAGTCACCTTTCACTCAGAAGTATCAAGCCTGTAGAGCAAACCTTCAGAGCACCAGCTCACTTACTCTGTCTTCCAAAATGGTGTATAGTCAAGAGCTGAATTTGCCAGAAGGAGTAGAAATAATAAGTGTAAAGCCATCAGCAGGTTTGTAATTTTTCTCAAAGTATAAAGGGATCCTTGCCTTTCTTACTTTGATCCTAAAATAAAGTAAGTTGGGTAAGTTTGGTGTTTGTTGTTAAAATGCCTGTAGATGGATCCAAAAGTTTTGCTTAAAATTCCTCCCCTGATTTTATGTCATGATCCTGGAACTAGGACTAAAAGAAAGCTCTTATTTCAGGTAAAAGAAATTGGAGAAACACAAATTTGGTTTTACAGTAATTAATGATTTTTTTGGTAGGATATTTACTTAAATTTTAAGACTTCTGTCAGTAGTCTTTCAAAAACACGTGATAAAGAATTTTAGATTTTGGGTTGGGTTTGTTGGATGGTAGAGATGATAGAATACTGAGATTTAAATCATGTTATTTGACTCCTCCTTACAGCATTAAATGGAAACAAAGTGTAAAATCGTTTTTTAGTTTTTTGTCATGTCTCCTTTGTGAGGCCCTCTCTGCAAACAACCCCCTTTGTGAGGAAGTGCTAATATTTTTTTAATTAAGAAATAAAATTGGAACTTTAAAAAGTTGTCTTTTTTGTTTGCTTTTTAATGTTTCCACCAGTAAAAGTGTATTTTATTTAATTTTAGGACATTTGAGTTCTTCTTCCATATATCCTGTTTGTCGTGCACCTTATCTGCTGGCTACTTCATGCTCTGATGGAAAAGTTCGGTTCTGGAGATGCAGAGTTACCACTGAATCATCAGCTTCATCCATGCCAGAATATAGTGCATATAGTGATATTACATATGTATGGGAAGAATGGCCCTTACTGATTGAGGATGGACTTCTTAGTAGTAGTGCTATTAATGTTCCAGGAAGGCCAACTGAAGTTAGCTGTGCACACACAAACAGATTAGCAGTAGCATACAAACAGGTAACAGCTAAAAATAGCAATCTTTCTCAAGATTTTGTAATGCATGTTAGTATTTTTGAATGTGAATCTACAGGGGGTTCTTCTTGGATTCTAGAACAGACTCTTCATTTAGATGAAATAGGCACCATGTTAGACTCTGGTGTTAGTATTGATAATAATTTAATGGCATACAGCACACAAGACATTTCTCTGTCTCATGGTGGGAATATTATGTCCAGCACTAAGCACTTGGTACACTTAGATTGGATGTCTAGGGAAGATGGTTCACATATTCTAACAGTGGGAATTGGATCAAAACTTTATATGTTTGGTCAGCTGTCTGGGAAAATGCAAGAACAAAATGGTAAGGAGATTGTAGCAATGTCCCATGGTGGCAGTGCCAAGTCTACAACCCTTTCTAGGTTTGTTCTGCTGCGTTGTGTTGACTTGGTTTCATCTGTAGAGGGGTCACCTCCTTTTCCAGTCTCCTTGTCTTGGGTGCGTGATGGCATTCTTGTAGTTGGAATGGATTGTGAAATGCATGTTTATTCCCAGTGGCAGTCTCCTTCCAAGCAAGAACTAGTTAGTACAGATTCCTACAGTGGAAGTATACCGTGTATAACTAGCTTAATGAAACAAAGCCAGTCAGCTGCCTCAGGTCTGCATCCACCAAAGCGAACCTTAACAAGATCTTTGACCAGTCTTGCACAGAAACTTAGTGGGAAAAGATCTGCCTGTGATCTGTCTACAGAAATGGAAGATTCTGGTCTTTTTGAAGCAGCTCATACATTATCTCCCACTTTACCTCAGTACCATCCATACCAACTGTTAGAACTCATGGATCTTGGTAAAGTACATAGAGCAAAAGCTATTCTGTCCCATCTGGTGAAGTGCATTGCTGGAGAAGTTGTTGCTATAAATGAATCTGAATCTAATCATGATAAGAGGCTCAGATCTCTGACCATCAGTGCTAGTGGAAGCACTGCAAGAGATCCTAAAACATTTAGCAAAACTGATACTACAGACTATATTGAAATAGACTCTGTTCCACCATTGCCTTTGTATGCTCTGCTTGCTGCAGATGATGATTCCTCACATTCCTGTTCAGAGAAATCTAATAATCAAAACAATAAAAAAGATAAGTCCAATGACAGTTATGAAGATCTCTTCCAAAATCCTATTATAAGTGCCGATGAACTTGTTACATTTGATGCAGATGAAGACACTCCGAAACCAAGTGTCATCGATCTTTCTCAGTACAGCCCAACTTACTTTGGACCAGAGCATGCTCAGGTTCTTTCTCGTCACTTGCTTCATTCAAGCTTGCCAGGTCTGACTAGGATGGAGCAAATGTCATTGATGGCGCTGGCAGATACAATTGCTACTACCAGCACTGACATTGGAGAAAGCAGAGACAGAAATCAGGGTAAGTTGTCCCTTCCAAGTTAAATGTACTACTGTGTTTCACTACTATTTTGGGAATTTTTCTGATTTTTGAATATTTTTGTGGCTTATGAAAGCATGTTATAGTTTTGTTTCATCACATAACCGGTATTATTTACTGTGCCATTACAGTATTTACCTTTTAACTGAAATGTCAAGACTTCAGAATTTCACAGAATACAATTTTATATTGCTGACTGTTAATGCCAGTGTTACTCCATCACTGCACATACTATATTTTTTTCCAATTCACTTTTGAACAGATAGTTTTCTTAATGGTCAAGGTTTGTTGCACTGTGTGGAGAAATTGAGAAATCATTTTCTAACACACTTTTTTTGTGTTTCTTGCATTAGGAAAAAACAGATTCAAACTTTTTATATTTGAAATTTTCCTCTTTTCCATTCCTTAAAGGGAAGAATTATGAATTATACCTAAGAATTTGTAAAACATTAATAGTTCCATAATTGTAAAGTATTTCTCTTGTTAAGACATCATATAGTTACTTTTAGTAGTTTCTCGCATGTGTGTATAAAAATATTTGTTTCTAGGTGGAGAAACCCTTGATGAGTGTGGTTTGAAATTTTTATTGGCTGTTCGGCTGCACACATTTCTAACAACTTCACTTCCTCCTGTCCATCGAGCTCAGCTGCTTCGCCAAGGTAATTGAAGTGTTTCCTTAGATAAGGTGAATCTTAATTGATGTAGCTGTAGGTATGATTGCTGTGCTGTTGACATGCCCCTGCAGAATCATTGAGTTATTTTGTTGTTTGTTGTTTTTAAATATGGTTCAATATGAATGTATGCCAAAGCAGAAAACATCTGTAGGTCTTGGAATGGAAATTATTTTTTTCCCTTAAAAATTTTTTAGTTTTAATTTTTTTCTGTTTCCCAAAAGAACTGGCCTTTCTGTACATCTAGTACCATGCTTTTCCAACACCCTTTTGCAAGAATAATGCAGTAGAAAGTAGAGTACATATTTACTTACTTTTAAAATATATATTTGGAAAAAAATCTCTTACAGTCTACTCAGACTTAAAATGGTTTTTTTATATGCTTACTGTAAATATCCAATAAACTATTTTAAATAGTTTTGTTTGGTATAGTTTTAGTTTGTTCCACCTGCTGTTGCAGAAGACAGAATGAGATGGATTTGGTTAGACCTAACCAAATCTAAAGGACTGGCTCTGGCTGCTTCTTTATCCTTTCATTAGTCATTATGACAGTTGATGGATTTTCCAATCTCATGGTGTATCACCCCTCAGCTGTATTAGACATGCAAATTTGCCAGGACTGCCGCAACAGTACTGCTGAGTTAGCTCTCTGATGGAATACTTTTAGTTGAGATATTTCTGCTTCTACTGAGCTCAGAAGTGGGTGAGAGTATGAAGTTCCTCCAGGGCATCTGCAGAGGTGCATTTGAGTGTTCCTAAGCACAAAGAAGCATCTTCTGGCCCTCACTGGATTTTCAATTATCCATAGCCAGCTATTCTGAGGCCTACTAATTGCTATCTTCCTCATATGATTTTTTTTTCTTCTAGTTTCCTTTTGTATCCCTATCCTCAAACATGTTTTCTATTCTGTATATGTGAAACTTCACATTTTCTAATCCAAATCAAATAGGGGACCTACCTTCCAAGACTTTGAGAAGTTTAATCAGTATGTTGCACTTTGTATCATGTCTAATCTCAGTGCCACTTCCACAGATATATTTGAGCTTCAGTCAGTAACTCTGTTCTTTGCAAATTTATATAAACAGTTTAAAGGTAAAAAGTGTTTTCTTATGAGCTTTCTTTAATATTTGGTATGCTGATATTATTTAATTTCTGTTGCCTCATCAGCAATGCACTTAGAAATCCAAAATAAACCTTCCTTTCTCCTTTTCCCACCCACCTGATTTCTCTGATTCTGGATTATATTACTGATGATGATGATGATGATTGTTATTATTTTTATTATTCTTTTATTTCTAATGAATGGCTTATTTTGTAGGCTTATCTACTAGTCATTTTGCCTGGGCGTTCCATTCAGTAGCTGAAGAAGAACTACTGAGCATGCTCCCTGCAGTACAGAAAGGAGATCCAACATGGTCAGAACTCAGAGCTATGGGTATTGGATGGTGGGTTAGAAATATCCATAGCCTGCGGAAATGCATAGAAAAGGTAAACATAGGGTTCTGAAACAAAATTACCAAACGTTTTTCAAACAGTTGAGTTCTAGTGTTCTATTTATTTTGTATGTTCAGTGTTTCTGAATGTTTTGGGCTGTATTCTCTTTTACATAAATAGTTTATTGTAGGAATATGAACTTCTGTATTTAACTATTTTTTTTAGTACTTTAGGTTTCACATTCCAGTGTGAGTCACATTTTGAGTTTTTACATTTCCATTTTGAAGGTGTCAGTGTGCTTATTGTGGATGCTCAAGATAGAGATTGAACGTACAGTTTTCAGTCCGGCAAAAGTTCTCCTTAGAAACCTATCAGAAGTGGCGTCAACTAAGATACTGTACATCTGTCATGCAGATGAATACAATGAATAAAACCTTCTGTTGGTTTATTTTGACTTGTTTTGGGTTTTTGGAAATAGATGTTTTAACAATCACACGTGAGTGGTTATTCCTGCATATGCTTCAGCACTCGCATCTGTCCTTTTGATTACCAGAGCAGCTAATAAATTAATTTTCATAACATTTCAAGAACTGATTTTAGAAGTAGGCATTCCCATTAAATCTGCTGAAAAGCTCCTAGAACTAGAAGAGCATTAGCTAAATGATGTGAAACTAAAACAAGAGATTGAAACTTTAGTATCTTCACATGTTCTTATGTCAGACTCATAGTGAAAGGAGGCGTCCAATATGAGGGAGCATTTTGGAGCACTGTGGGGCATGGGATGTCAGCAGCAATAAGACTGCCTTTTAAGATTATTTTACATTTTAATTGTTTTTTTGCTGTTGAACTGCCTTCACAGGTGGCTAAAGCAGCCTTTCAGCGAAACAATGACCCGCTGGATGCTGCCATTTTTTACCTTGCAATGAAAAAGAAGGCTGTGATCTGGGGATTGTACAGGTAGGAAGCATGCAGGTTTTCACATGGAGTTCTATACTGTCTGATATAATTTGGAGGAAAAAAACTGAATGTGAGCAAAAGAGTGTGAGTTTTGCCATTGAAAGCTAAGATTCAATGTATAAGTTATGCACTACATGAAGTGGGTATTTTTTAATCTTCTTGTATTTACTGAGGTAATTTAGACACTGTTTCTGAAGGGAGATGCTTCAAGTTTAGGACTTCTGAGGACTACCTGTGTAGTGTGTTGAATGACATGGCTGTCTTCTAGAATAGTATTTGTTGTTAGCTTAAGTTCAGATAACTGAGTTAAATCTTTTAAACTTGTGTTTCATAATACAGCATTCAACATCACAAACTTTACGAAGTAGTTTGCATTGTCACTTACTCTTGAGAGCATAGTTGGGAAAAATGAGCTTTTCTGTTATTTGTATCAGGTTAACTGAAAATGCCATTAGTTTTTTGCATTTACTCAGGTTGATTTAATATTTTTGAACAGGAAGGCTTCTACACTCCCAGTTTGGTGAGAGCCTGTGCACTTCTTAATGATAAGAGCTGTGTAAAATTCTGCTGGCATGTGAGGAAATAAAAAGCCATAATGCATCTAGTAAAATAATACTTTCATCAATTATGTTCAATATGCAGGTCCCAAAAAGACACTAAAATGACACAGTTTTTTGGAAACAACTTTAGTGAGGACAGATGGCGTAAAGCAGCGCTAAAGAATGCCTTTTCTTTGCTTGGCAAACAGCGTTTTGAACATTCTGCAGCATTTTTCTTATTGGCAGGACACTTAAAAGATGCAGTGGAGGTAATAAAATAATGAACTTTTCTTTTACATTTAAGACTGTGTTATTGTTCCAAACTTACAAATATGTTGAACATGAATTGCATTTTGCATTAGTATTACCCCTGAAATTTCTGGTTTGTTTGTGCTTTTTCCATCCCTGCACTTCTCCTCTGAAATTAATGATAAATACAAATCCTTGATTTTGACATTTTGATTCTGTTTCAGCTGTCATATTAGTGATATTAAAAAGTGCCATGGTTAATTTCTCCATAATTTTAAGCAGCCTGCCTACCATCAACTTGCTTTCAGATTTTCTGCAGTGTCATTTATGAGGACAACGTTGTTTTTCATTAATAATGCCCAGATCAGAAAATGAAGGCTTTTTTGCAGTGATGTGGGTGGGCTCCTGTAGTCCCTCCACACAAAAATATTATTTTCTGGATCTGTTTGAATTGAAAAATTGAAAAGCAGGAAGTTAATTTACAATGAAGGACTTGGTCTGTAAAGCTTTGGAACCAAAATATCTAGCTTCAAGAGACAGCATGTGAACACTGATAATGATTTATTGAAGCCAACTGATTTCAAAGATCTTTGTCATGTCAGACTTAAACTGAATAAACTGCAAATCATATCTTGATCTAATAGTTGGCCACAGCTATTCTGCGTAGTTCTCGCTAATTTTTTAATGGGATTGATAGAACTACTTACCTCAATCTGACCCAATTAATGTAACTTCCTGACTTGTTATAATTTTAAGCAAAGGGGAAATTTCAGTGTTTGATTTTCTGAATATATTTTTTTTTTGCTAGGTCTGCCTTGAAAAACTGAATGACATTCAGTTGGCTCTTGTAATATCACGACTTTATGAGTCGGAATTTGAAGTATCTAGTACTTACAAATCTGTACTACAGAAGAGAATTTTGGGAAGTGTCTTCCCTGGAAAAGAGAGCTCAGGAAACATGCACTGTGACCCTTTTCTGCGAAGTATGGCTTACTGGATTTTGGAAGATTATAGCAAGGCTCTTGACACTTTGATTAAACATTCTGTTGGAGATGAAGGTAAGAATATAAGTATTTTGTTGGTTATTATAGTATTATGTTGGTTTTAACTATTTGCTCATTTAGGTAGTAGTTTCTTAAAGCGTAGTTCGAACAAGACCAGGTACTGCACAGTTGCTTACCATTGCTGGTAAACAGCTTACTGTAGTGATGTATGTGGATTTTATATTAAACATAGTGGCTGTTGTTACTATCCTGTGTCCTATGAAAGGTTACTTAATTTATCCTGTACATAGGGGAGTATCAGGATAATGAGAATTATCCCCTACGGTGATGCAGCTGTTTTTCCAGCAGCAACATTAAGATTAAGAGACAAATTAACTTTTGTCAGTTCATTTGACTCCATCACAACACAGGAAGAAACTTCTGATTGCACAGTTACATAGCAGATTCTGGAAGACCTGGTGTTTTTTAGCTTTTAGTCCTTAGGAAGAATGATTGACCACAATGATAAACAGGCATAGAAAAAGGTTTGGTATTTACTATGATACAGGGAGGCCCATGTGGTGTCTGAAATAGCATGTAAGTCTAGTAAAATGGTTCTTTTCCCTGTTCACCTGCTAGCTTTATATGCCTTCCAAGAATCAGTTGTATTACTTCCTGAAGTTAATGTTCTCAAGGAATTTAAATGTTTCAAGTCCCTAGTAGTTAGCATGCTATCTGCTTTCTAGTCCTGGCTGCTGAAAGAAACTTGGTAGAGACAAATGAAGACTCAAATCCCCAGAATTATGTAATTGATTTTAAAAATGGGTTTCAGTAGAAGTTAAATGTCTCAGGATAATTTTGAACAAATGAGGGAAATAAAGTTCAATTCTTTTAGTCATGGTCACATCCTCATGTATAAAATAATTTATAAGTGTTACTAATTAATAAGGAACTAGCTGGATGATCACCCTTTAAGCATGGTGATTAATGGCTTGTTGTCCAGATGAAGATCTGTGATGCGTGGTGTTCCCCAAGGGTTGATACTTGGGCTGGTGCTGTTTAACATCTTTGTCAATGACATGGACAGTGGCACTGAGTGCACCCTCAGCAAGTTTGCTGACGACACCAAAGTGTGTGGCGAGGTCGGCACACTGGAGGGAAGGGATGTTATCTAGAGGGACTTTGGCAGGCTCGAGAAGTGGGCTTGTGTGAACTGCATGAAGTTCAGGAAGGCCAAGTACAAGGTTCTGCACCTGGGTCAGAGCAATCCCAAGCACAAATACAGGCTGGGAGGAGAATGGATTGAAAACAGGCCAGAGGAGAACAACTTGGGGGTGATGGTGGATGAAAAGCTCACCATGAACCAGCAGTGTGCACTTGAAGTCCAGAAAGCTGGCTGTGTCCTGGGCTGCATCAAAAGAAGTGTGGCCAGCAGGTCAAGGGAGGTGATTCTCCTCTTTTATTTGGCTCTTGTGAGACCCCTCCTGGAATATTGTGTCCAATTCTGGAGCCTCCAACATATGATACTTGGGCTGGTGCTGTTTAACATCTTTGTCAATGACATGGACAGTGGCACTGAGTGCACCCTCAGCAAGTTTGCTGACGACACCAAAGTGTGTGGCGAGGTCGGCACACTGGAGGGAAGGGATGTTATCTAGAGGGACTTTGGCAGGCTCGAGAAGTGGGCTTGTGTGAACTGCATGAAGTTCAGGAAGGCCAAGTACAAGGTTCTGCACCTGGGTCAGAGCAATCCCAAGCACAAATACAGGCTGGGAGGAGAATGGATTGAAAACAGGCCAGAGGAGAACAACTTGGGGGTGATGGTGGATGAAAAGCTCACCATGAACCAGCAGTGTGCACTTGAAGTCCAGAAAGCTGGCTGTGTCCTGGGCTGCATCAAAAGAAGTGTGGCCAGCAGGTCAAGGGAGGTGATTCTCCTCTTTTATTTGGCTCTTGTGAGACCCCTCCTGGAATATTGTGTCCAATTCTGGAGCCTCCAACATAAGAAGGACATGGAGCTCATGGAGGAGGTCTGGAGAAGGGCCTCAAAGATGATATGAGGGCTGGAACACCTGTCCTATGAGGAGAGGCTGAGAGAGTTGGGGCTGTTCATCCTGGAGAAGAAGAGGCTCTGCGGGGACCTTACAGAGGTCTTCGAGTGCCTAAAGGGGGCCTACGGGGAAGTTGGGGAGGGACTTTCACAAGGGCTTGCAGTGAGAGTACAAGGGGTGATGGATTAAAACTGGAAGACAGTAGATGTAGGTTAGACATTAGGAAGAAATTATTTGCTGTGAGGGTGGTGAGACACTGGAACAGGTTGCCCAGGGAAGTTGTGAATGTTCCATCCCTGGAACTGTTCAGGGCCAGGTTGGATGGGGCTCTGAGCAACTTGACCTAGTGGGAGGTGTCTCTGCCTATGCAGGGGTTTGGAACTAGATGATGTTTAAGGTCCCTTCCAACCTTAAGCATTCTATGATTTTAATTCTTTAGTCAGTTCAGAAGCTAGTATGTGGGTTTTTGCTTTTTTTCCTTACTTAAAAGGTGCTCTTTCATCCATCTTTTCCTATAATCTGCAGTTAGTTGTGCTGGAACTCAGAGGAAGGAGTAAGGGCTTCAGCTAACCCAGACTCTTTGAAATCTGTGTGAATTGTCCTATGCTGATGCTTATATATTTTCAAGATTTTTGTGTTGTGGTTTTGAACATGAAAATAAAATCTGTAGGTGCTGCAGTACTGCATAATTATTTTGTATGTAATACTGATATCACTATGTGTAAATATTTTTCTAGTTTTATTCTAGGATTATTTTATACAGATTTTGTACATATAGAATATATACATATATGCATACATACATTTCCTCATTATGCAATATCTTTTCAGATGAAGGAGATGGCTCATCAAGTTGTAACCCTGCAGTGTTTAACTTCTATAACTACTTAAGAACACATCCTCTCTTGTTGAGACGTCATTTTGGCTCTTCTGATACATCTTCCACACACATTTGCCTAACAGTAGAAAATGGATTAGCTGACAAAATCAACCTGGGTGAAAGACGCCTCTTTTTCACCACTGCATATGCTCATCTAAAAGCTGGTTGTCCTATGTTGGCCTTAGAAGTGTTATCAAAGATGCCCAAAGTGTTCAAGAGATCAAAGTCATTTGGTAGGTCCCCTACCTTAATGGATACCAGTAAAGATTTCTCACCGTCTTCTCCAGTTAAAGAGTTGGAAACAAAAGACAAGTCTTCGAGTGTTGATTGGTCACAGCCGGTATTGAATGGTCTAGGTTCATCTTCAGATTGTTCATCAGGAAAACATTCAAGTTCAGCTCTTTCCTTAGACTGCCAGTCAAGTGCAATATTCCAAGATGAACACTTCAAACTACAGTCAGACAGTGATCAAAGTGATGAGAGTGAAGATTCTTCCCTGGTAATGAAAGAGCTAAAACCTCGGAAGAGAACTGAAAACTTAAATGAAACAGGTTCTAGCTACACAGAATCTTTTAGTGTAGTTGATGACAAAGATATTCTAAGTCCATCAGAAGATATAATTTCAGCACAGCTGAAGTTTAGAGCATGCCTGAAAATTCTTACTGTAGAGCTTCGTACACTGTCTACTGGTTATGAAGTAGATGGTGGGAAATTGAGATATCAGCTTTATCAGTGGCTTGAAAGAGAAGTGGTAGCTCTTCAGAAGACCTGTGATTATAATGTTGAAGAGATACAGCCAGGAAGTACTGTGATGCCAGAGGAAACTACATTATATGAAAACACTGAAAACTTAGCTGACCAGCAAAAAAATATGCTACACAAAGACTTCCAGAAAAGACGTCAATGGCTTCTGAAATACCAGTCTCTCCTAAGAATGTTCCTTAGTTACTGTATACTTCATGGCTCTCATGGTGGAGGATTGGCATCCGTTAGAATGGAATTAATTCTGCTGTTGCAGGAATCTCAGCAGGTATGTGGGGAAGTTTAGTTTGTGTTTTCCTTGCTTCAGGTTTATTGTAGATTTTCTTGAATTGTGTTTTGTATTGATGAAGTTTTCCTATTATAGCATGCACCTGTTCTATAATAAATAAAACACTGTTTTTAACATGTTACATTTGCAATAGGCTATGCTTTTTCTTGTTTAGAATCCCCTTCCCCTCTTTCAGTGGTTCTTCTGTTCTCCTTAGGAAGATGTGCTATTACTTTGCTTGTGTGTTTCTTGCCTTTTTTTTAGGAGCAGTCAATACAGATACCTTCCAGCCCTCTGGCAGAGCAAAGCTCCATACCCCTCCTGTTTGCTTGCACAGCTAGTGCCAAAACAGTGGTGGCTAATCCCATGCTACATCTTGGTAATTTAACTCATGATATTTTACATGCCATAATAAACCTTGATTCACCACCTCATCCAGATACTCAGAACAACAAGGTGTGTATTTCTTTAAAGTTTTTTGGGGGGCTGTTACTATTTTCCAGTTTGCTGAAGTCATTCATCTTCTGACAGCATGAAAGCTTTCTGTTGTGCCTACCTGTTACAAGTAATGAAACTGTATATCATAACTCTTCTCCATAATACTTACATGGACTAAAATGATTTCCACTGATTATTACTTAGTGCTGACCTGCTGTACATCTATTTCAACAAGCTGAAGTAGATTGGCCTCTCTCAGCACTGGGTATTTGTCCAAGATGACATCTGTTATGGAAAACATATTGTATTGCACTATCAGTTTGACATTTGTCTTTATGACAATATAATCATTACTTCTGTTATATTAATGGTAAACTCTGCATTTCAATCCTAGACCTAAGTAAAACTAAGTTTTGAAGTATGAAACTGTCAGCGAAGTGCAGTAATTTCAGACTTTTTTTGGTGAAACAGTATATAAGTTCATACAGTAAAATACAGTCTTTTTTTTAAAGCTATGCTTCTGTAAGATTTCTTCTGTATTTAACCTTGTACTGGAAACCTAACCTATGGTGTTAGGCTGAATCTTTCCTGAAGTTTTGTAGGTGTTGGATCCCATGGGTTGGTGGGATGAGTATTTCCCCCATCTACTTATTTGCAACACAAATTGATTTATCTGCAATTAATTGTGAAGAGAAGGTGGCTTTCAAGATTTTTTTTCCCATAAAAGCTTATACTTTTATATTCAGTGCTTGTTCCACTGTTACACATCTGTATACATGAAGGGCTACGATACTAATCAGTGCAATATGTTCTATAAAACTGTCTTACAGATATACGTAATGCATACCTTAGCAGCATCACTCTCTGCTTGCATCTACCAGTGTCTTTGTGATGGCCACAGCTACAGGTAAAGCTCCATGAAAACGTACTTCTTAGAGAATGGTCTATATACTGTCTCACTATGGTTATGGTATAAAATATAGTGCACCAGAAGGCAGTGCTCACACCTGCCTGCAACTAGAAAAGGCTATCACTTGAGTAGTTTTAGACTTTTTTAAAAAAAATAAATACAACATTCCGCTTTTCTATTTCACAGCTCATTTCAAGCAAATCAGTTTACTGGAACAGTGTATCAGACAGTTTTGTTAACTCAGTGCCATTCTCTAAGAACAACAAGCCCGGAAGAAACAGTGACTCCCAATACATCGCCTGCTCAGTGGCCAGGTATCTAGAGTTGATTTGTTTCTTTCCTCTTAAGGAAAACTTAGTTGTGTGGATCCACTGTAAGAAAATGTAATTGCTTTGGACTTTCTAGTAGTGTTTCTAACAGCTGTGTGGTAAAAACAAGTTCTTGTAATAAAATGTTGTCTTCATTTTTCAAAAGCTGTAAGCTAGTAATTCTGATAATTTACTCTAAGTCAAATTGATTTATATTGCTTTCTCATGATAAAAAATGTTAGTGGAGGGCTCTAGTAAAGAGCAAGTAAACAAAAAGTAAGGTGAAGTGTTGTCATGTGCTCTGCTTGCTCAGCCTGCAGGGAACAAATTGATGTCACCATTATTCTACTTCTGAAAAGGACTTGAAAGGCTATCTCAGTTTGTGATCCACCTCAGGATGATTATTGCTTATATACAACTTTTGAACTATCTTGAAACTTTTGACAATGAGAACTTTGTAATGATTGAAGCTTTTCATTAGCTCTCAAACCCACATAGGGCTATAAATATTTCTTAACATCAACTGGGATCTATGCTAATGAAGCCACATTGGTGAGACTAGAGGTAGTGTAACCTACATAGTAGGTGTTTGTATGAGCTTCAGTTTACAGCACTAACTAATGTAAGCATAACAAAGCAATATGTCTTAGTATTATGGATGTTGTTTATTCAGTAAGAAAATTTTGCATTAAAAAATCAGAACCTTAACCAATCTTTGTGTGTGATACTATCCTGTTTTTTTCTTTTCTGCAAAGTGTTCTGTCACTGAATCTACAGATTTTAGTCAAAAATCAGATTGTCATCTGTTTTCTTCTTATTTCATCAATTACAGCATTACATTTTTAATTAATAGTACAAGGGAGTATTAGCAGTGGTGTTTATAGGTAACAAAACTTTGAACTGATTTCTCAGGTTTGATTTTGGGTTTTGTGGGGGGCTTTTTGGTGTTTTTTTTGTGGAGTTTTTTGGGGGTTTTATTGTGTGTTTTTTTTTTTCCCTTGGTCACTTCTATTTGTGTTTTTATTTATGGGTACAAAGTGACAAAGTCGGCACCACATCTGAAACTCTACAACATTTAGTGGGAGCTTAAAAACACTGTAAGATGTTTAGTACTTGGTGAAGGAATGCTTGTCAGCGCATAGTTCAAGTTTGATGCCCATGATCTCACTGTTAAGTGAGAATACAGCATTTCAGCGTACAGTGTTATGCTCAAGTCACAAACCTTACTGGTGAAACTAGCACCACATGAAACCCAATGAGAATGTTAGTATTTTTATTTTAAGTATAAGATTTGGGTGCTATGTATTGAATATACTGGGAACCACTAGCTAACACTTTGTGGAAAGAATTGAGGACCCAGAAAAGAGAGCTTGAAACATGAGAAGACTCAAGAAAGACTCATATAAGTAACTTAACTAGATGTTGTGTCACAGAGTTCAGTACCAGGGAGTTGATTAAAGCTGCCAGTATTTTATTTAAGATTTATCCTAGAATTTGACTGCTTTTCCCCTCTTATTCTTGAAAAGTTGCCATTATCTTTAATTGATAGTCCGAAATATGAAACAGAACATCTATAATAAGTTGTTAAAAAGAAAATAGCATGCCAGTTTCCCCTAGAGTCTTCAGTTTCCTCTAAGACTTTGAATTTTTCTACACTATCAGATACTAAATAATGTAGGTTACCAGTCAAAATGCCCATGATAATCCAAAGTATGTTCACACATACATATGCTTTTTAAAATTTTTCCTTTTTTAAATTTTATTTTTCATAAACAGGAATAACAGCTCTAATACGTCTTCTGAATTCTGCTGGTGAGGAGGCCCAGCCAGGTCTCACAGTTTTACTTTGTGAAATTCTAACTGCGGTTTATCTGAGTCTGTTCATCCATGGTCTAGCAACACATTCTAGTAATGAGTTGTATAGAATTATGGCTCATCCACTTAACAACAAAATGTGGTCTGCTGTCTTTGGAGGAGGAGCTCATACGCCCAGCAAAGGACAACTGCAATTAAAGACAAAAACTGGTTAGTTCTGTTGCTTTATGTATACTTGTCTTCTGGGTTTTTAAAGAAAATTATATGACTGCTGAAAGCTTAACAGTAATAGCTTTGAATAGTTTGTGTTCAGCAAGAATTCAATATGTTTTTATATCTCCAAAGAAATACAAGGATCTAAAGTTGTTGGCATAGATACTGTGTAGAAGAGAGTATGGAGCAGATGGAAACCTTATTTCAACAACATTCACAAGTAGCACAACTGCTATAATGCAAAGAGTTAAGTTCATTTTAAGAGAGAATTTTCAGTATGATAACAGCCTAGTTTTTAATGTTAATTTTAAAGCTTTCCAATTCTCTTATAACAGGAATATATTCTCGTTTTACAAATACAGTATGTTTTCTTTCTTTGGCAGGTAGGCACTTCACAATGCCTAGCCCACATCAGGTAGTAGTGTTCTCCATGGAATGCGTGGGGTTTTCCAAATCCCTTACTGCCTTCAATACTCATAGTCCTACCAAATCTTCAGGCAAGACACTAGATTTAGTACTAGGCCTCTACATGCAGTTTGCTATGTGTGATTTTTTTTTTTTTTGCATATGTAGAAAGACAGAAAAACTTCTGTTTGCAAGCCATGACATCAAAATTTAAAGCAAAGTTTTGTAATTGAAGCAGCAGTTGAATTGGGCTTTTTAAAAAAAGAAAATCGGCAGTGCTATTGTATTCTTACTACACTTCACTTTAAATCAATATTAAATATAAAATTACTTTTGACCATGGTTTGGAAGGATCAGAAGTGTTTCATATCTTTGTTGGAGAGCTGCTTGTTTTGCTTTTTGAGTATAAGCGTTACTATGCATGTGAGTTTCATAAGTATTCATTCTAGACATTACAAAGAAAAGGTGTTGATACTTAATTTTGATAGTCTGATAAACCTTTAGAAATGCAAACAACCTTCAGGTTTTAAATTCAGAAGATAAGTTATCCTAAGGTCCAGAATTAATTCTGGTAATAATGAGATTCTTTTCTTTTTGGTACAGATTTGTGATTAGTAATTTAGTTAGACTTCTATAAAATCAAGAGCAACAATTCTACAGATTATCTAATTTTCTCAAAGGAAGATTTTGTGAAAAGAAATTTACTTAAACCATGGTGACTTTCTCCATCACATCTGAACATACATACAATAAAAAATAGTACCTAACTAATATAATTTTAATTATGATATTGTTATTATTGCTATTATATATTTGTTACATGTTAAAATGTCTTCATATTTAAGGAAAACTGAAAATGTGCTCTGTTAAAATACCAACTTTTTTTGAAAAGTATTTTCAGAGTAGAGGTCTTTACTAAAAAGTGGTTTATTATTGTAGATCTGATCATTTTCTCTGTGGTATCAATGAAATATTTCTCATTATAATTTTCTTAAAGTATATCTATTTGCCATATCAGAATTGTTGGAAGGCATAACTGGCTTTTGTTGTGAATTTTAAGTTTCCTAGGCATCAGTAACTATACTGAGGTGTGGTAATGCTGCTGCTACTACTTAAAAAAAAAAAATATTTTTTTTATGTAGAGATATATTCTGAAATGTATACTGTATGCCTGTATACTGCATGTTTTTTCTTAAAAATGAATGCTGGCTGATTGCAGGATTAGTAAAATTGATGCTGGAAAAATCAAGAAGCTTGAAATGGAAAATTTAAGGGAAGAAGCGACTTTTAGAAATAGTAATTTGTAGGGATAATCAAACTCTGGAAAATGGGCCTAGAGGATTTGTCAAGTCTCCATCTTCAGTGTTACTCAAAACTTGAACAAACTAGGCCATCACCTAGATCAGCTCTGTTCTGAGCAAGGGGTTGGATCAGGTCCCTTCGAACCTACATAATTCTAGGATTCTGTAGAGCTGTTACCTGGTTTTGATGCTTTATCTAGAGCAAATTTGTTGGAAAGAATTTTGACGAAACATCTTTCTCTGTCACTTTAAATGAAAGAAAAAAGATAAAAATTGATTCCCAGTAAAGCAGAGGAGTCAGATTACTAAATCAGCTATGTTTTTGTGCCTTTACAGTTATCTCTTGCTTTTTCTTCTGACACCCAGAAATGAACACTGAGAAGTGACTGAAATGCTTCTTCCAATGAACTGTTGTCAGTCTTTCACATATATTTCTTATGTTAGATCCTCTGAATGAATATATAGCTTTTGCTTACTCTCCACTAATCATCAGTTTTAATCTCCTAGAAACCACACTGCCATTATTGATTTCATAAGCATCTGACTTAAAATAACAGATTATCTAAGCAAAAGTTTAATATAGTGTTTGTCCAAGTTATCCTTAGGTAATTGTAAAGAAATAATAAACCCTTAGAACTATTGCATTTGTCTACTTGCTGTATGTACTGTGAGGTAGGTTTCATCCAGAATCTAAAACAAAGCAACAATAACAAAAACTGAACTCGCACGGGTAGTCTTTCAGACTAGATCTAACAGTGCTACATATCTGCTACTCAGTTTCACCTGTGAATCAGAAACAACAGTAATAATCTTTGTGCTTAGACTAGGAATGGCTTAATCTCTAAATACCTAAAAGAGTATATATTCCTCAAGTTTTAAGTCATACTTGCTTTTGTGAGAACATACAATAGCCATGCCAAACTGCTCTTAATGCAGAATTCCATGTTAGTAATGGAAATTTTTATATCAGTGGCAGGATAACTGTCCTGAATTCCAGCTCAGAATTAGAGACTGTAATGATGGACTTTTTTTCTTAAAGTACTTAGGAGTACTGAGAACTTCACTACTTGTGTGGCCTTTCTATTGTATATTAAAGTCTTCGTCTTCTCACTATTTTTTACTGTCTTATTCTTGTTTACGTCAGCTGTTAAAACAGAATGGAAGTTTGACTTGATGTTTTTGCACTGAGAATGATGCAATGAATAGTGATTTTAGCTCAGTAGAAAAAGGCTTAGATGGTCAGGACATGAAATGTCAACAAAGCTTGTGTATGACACCAAGTTTTTTGTTTTGTTTATCTACTTTTGGAGAGGTTTCCATTTACCATTTATGGAAATGCCTACAATATATATAATGTCTTCAGAAACATCTGAGAATTTAGTATATACTTACTTTGAGTGTTCCATTGTATCACTATTATTAAATGGTTTATAAATACAAGGAATTTACAGTTTTGTATACATAGGGTAATTAAATTGCAGCTTATGAAATTTAATTGCAGTTGCTACTGTTGTGTGTTAATTCATTAATCACCACAGTCATATGAGCTATTGACCATAAGCAACCAGAATATCATATTGAAAACTTAAGGATTAGTAACCTTGCAAAGTGCAAAACTGTTTTCCAGTTGAAATTGAAATGTCTAGCTGTGTCGTTTTTCACTGGGCTGCTGTTCTAGTTGGCTTACATAGCTTCCCAAAGAATTACAGAAAACCGTGTAGGGCTTTACAGTTACTAAAATGATTTGAAGTGTGATTCAATGTCAGTGTTTCTTTGTCATGTCTCTGTCATTCTGCTCTGTTCTCGTCTTCAGCAGTACTGGTATTTGTTGATGCCTGTAATCAAGAGTGATGCTTTTCTAAGAGGAGGACTTCATAATTTTACCTCTCTTAATGAGGACTTGTATTTTTCATAGGTTGTTGGATGTTGATGCTTTGTGCTTGCTCACAGCTTTAAATAAAGCACTCATTCTAACTTTCGTTTTAGCATTTTGGAAATCATAAGAGTTCTACCTTTTAGTTCTTCCTGGGAAGGTGGAAGTGAGGTGATGCAGGCAACAGGTCTTTTTAATATCATTGCATGTTTTAGATCTTGGCCGAAATAGAAGTATTTTCCTTCTTGGAAATATTCAAGTATTCTTAACATAATTTTACCTTCGTTTTAGAAGTGAAATGAGACCAAAGATGAAAGTTTTGAATGCGAAAAATACAAATAATTTTAAATAGAAATAAGATAATTTTGAAGTTAATGTAATTGGTGATCTTAAATTACAGTCAGATTTCTAATGAATTTGTTAATTTATTTTAATTTTTTAGGAAAAAAATACATTTGCATTAGTAGGCAATTAGTAGGCAAACTTTCATTTGCCTTAAATATTGCATTTTTTTCCAGTGGCTAGCCAGCAGTGTTTTTAAAAATACAAAGAGTAATCCAACAAAATGGAAAAAAGTACTGGTTTAAACTAAAGCATCTGATTTTTGATTTCTGCTTAGGAGAATAACTTGCAAGCATATACTTGCTTATTTCTGTGTCATGCAACATTTGCTCCTTACTTCATGCCTAGTGTATTTCTTTTTTTTTCTTTCCAAGCAATTGCAAAAAATTCATACAGTGATGCATGTGCATGCCCTTTCTTAGCTGATGAGCTTTAAATAATTAAATGAAAATGCATTTGTACTGCAGCTGTTATATTTATGACTTTTAGTACAGGTAAGTAAATTTCAACTAATATCCCGGACAGGAAAAAACTCAAAATATTATAAAGTATAGTAGTGCAACACAAACTGCTAAAATATCCCAGTTTCAATATGAAAGATGAGATGTTATCTTCAGCTTTTATTGGGTCCTATATATAAACTATCTTGTAGTTCAGCTGCTTGTAGTAGTAGTACGGGTCATTTTCATAAGTGGTCAAAAATGCTTTTTAAAATCCTTCGGGAAATGTGGTATTTTGGTCAATATTACAAAAAATTTTGGCTGTATTAGAATACAATTAATCTACCAAGAACCAGAATCATTTCAGTTTATTAGATGGCTATGTGAGCCTCTTTTTAAGTAAGCTATTAGTTTTCCCTTGTTTGTGAAATTGATACTTCTTAATTAACAAGAAAACAGACAATCTGAAAAGATGCTTCTTGTTTGTTAATTTGTTATGTAAGTGCATTGAGATATTTCTAATAGCCTGGATAAGCTGTTTCCTTGAGTATTGTAATCATCAATAATATAATTCAAATAAATCTCTTGTAAACACTTTGTATTCTAAAAAAATCCAATGTTAGGGGAAGTGAAGGGATCTCTCAACTCCTAGGAGTTAGAATATTGTTACAAATTAGTCCATCCATGTCTGAGAAACTATATATTGGATTGTGTTAGTTAAAATGGGATCTTCTGTATTTGCTGGAGAAATACACTGTCAAGTTGTATGTATGTTGTTATCAGAATTGTACCATTTAGAAGGAAGTACAGACCTCCTCTGTAAGGAGACATGGAGTTAAAACTTTGAGTAAGAGTGGTGAGCTTAGATGCTTGCACTTGAGACTGCTCGCTTGTTTTAAAAATAAATCATAATCAGTATATTCAGTAGTGCTTTTTAAAGTAATTTTAGTTTCTCAGTGTTATTGCTTGAGCAACAATATTTGTCATCTTTGTTGTAGGAAAAAAACTTCTAATGCAGTGATGGGCATACTTGGCTATTTTTTATTATTTATGTTGTTTTTATTATTTGTATTAAAAGCAGTGGAGAGGTGTAGCAGACAATTTGAAGAAACATACTTTATTTTATTTCTCTGTAGATGATGGAGAGAAACAACAAAAACGTTACAGGCTTTCATCAAAAACCTCTCCAAAAGAAAGTTCTCAGTTGCCTGCATTGCCATTGGTAGACCAAGAATCTCCATCTTACAAAGAAAGATTTATTCCTCCTGAGCTTAGCATCTGGGACTATTTCATTGCAAAGGTAATTTTTTTTAAATTTATGACAATTAAATACTATCTATCACGTCTGGAATGGTAATTTTTCTCAGTCAGTATTCTGGGTATTGATTTAAATGTGTGATAGAAGCTGCCTTGTTTTATTACTCCTATTTAGCTTTTTCTAAAACATTTCCTGTAGGTATTTTTTAAATACCTTTCCTAAGCTGCTGTTATGACATTAATTAATTTTTTTTTCAGATAATGCTGTGAACAAAACATTGCTTTTTACAGTTGCAGAATTCAAATGTATAGCTAATTATGGATCTGCAAGTTAGATTAAAAAGGAAATCTGAGAAGCTTGTCATCATCTGTTTCAAATGGGTGAAATGAATGTGTACTTCCTAGAAATCAATTTGTGTTGCCTTCAGTCAAGTCTGCTGTGGCAGATCTTTCTTTGTAGGAAGTTACATAATAGTATGGTGTTTCATGGGACATTTCTGTATCAAATATTAGCCATTAGCGAGATAAATATGTAAGCAGTTTGGGAGCAAGGACAAAAAAAAAATAAATTGCAAACACTGAATAACATATTGGAGCACTCTGTAGGCAGGAGATAGGACTTTCTTGTTCTTTAGTCTTAGAGGAAGAGCTAGAGAGAAAATACAGTGGTGATTTTGGCTTCTCTCAGACAAGTTACAAGCTTTTGTCTCCTGTGTGTGGTATGATACACCTGATGTGAAAGTGTAGCAAAATAAGGACTCGAAAAATGTTAGTACTTTCATTTTCAGCTTTAGAATTTTGAGTAATGTCAGTGATAATTAAGATGATATGCCTGCTGCTTTATAAAAAGCATTAAATATCGTTATGGCGTATTTTTAAAAAGATAATTTAAAACTGGATACTGGGTAGAAAATACTCAAGGAATATTGTTTACATTTTTAGCCTTTTCTTCCATCGCAAAGTAGAGTAGAATATGATTCAGAAGAGAGTCTGGAAAGTGGTGAAGATGATGATGTTGATGGAGATGTGTTTGCATCAAATTCACATAATCAAGAGCATTCTAATTCAAATTCATTCAGGTCAGTAACTCTTCAGAATGCAAATGTTCTGCAATGGCTAGGCTTGCGTTTCTGGCATTTTACTTTTCACATAATACACCAGTTAATTGGTATTTCATGGCAGTGAGTTATGTAGACTTGGTAGTTAATTTTTCACAAATATTGTTGTACTCATTTTATTAATACATGGTATAGCAGCTTTTGAATTCAAGTTATCTATAATATTCTAAAATCCTGTTTGCAGTTTTTAGCAGTTTATAATGAGGATTTAAAGCTCTAAACTTGAATCCTAATAGTGAATAAGTGATAAATTTATTTTCCTATTAGTAAATGACTTACTAGTGCTTTCTTGTTAGTTGGTCACTGATGAGATTGGCAATGGTTCAGCTGGTACTTCACAATTTGAAGAGTTTCTACCCTTTGGCTGGACATGATCTTTCAGGTAATAAGCAGCAGAGTTGTTTTTTCATACTTAATAACCGCATTTAAAATCAGTAATATGTTGAGTAATATAAATCTTATAGCTTTATCTTTAATTCTGAAGTTCTTAATTTTTCCAAGTCATAGGAATAAGTCTCCTGTTGCTGTTTATCATACTACTATGTTTATGAAATAACAGAGAGTGGGTGAGAAGGTATGCTCAGTAGTTAACAGAAATCTCTGTATAGTTTTTTCTTTGCCTCTTAGTCATACAATAATTATTTCTTGGTGTAAAGCCTGTAGTTTTTTGTGACTTAAGTTGCATCATTCCTACAACTTGTTTTAAAAGAATCATGGAATTATTTGTATTGGAAGGACCTTTAAAAACTATCTAGGCCAGCTCCCCTGTCATGGGCAGAGACCTGTGTCACTAGACCAGTTTGCTCAAAGCCCCATCCAACCTGACCTTGAACACTTCTTGAGATGGGGCATCCACAACTTTCCTGGACAACCTGTACCACTGTCTCACCATTTTCTTAAAGCTAGGTATACCTTATACCTAGTCTAAATCTACTCTTTTTAGTTTAAAGCTGTTAACTTCTTCTATCACTTCAGGCCTTGGTAAAATGTCTTTCTGCATCTTTCTTGTAAGACTTAGTTTTATAGAATCATAGAACTATTTGGTTTAGAAGGGACCTTAAAGATCATCTAGTTCCAATCCGCCTGCATGGGCAGGAACATGTTCCACTAGACCAGGTTTTTTCATGTCCTGTCCAACCTGGCCTTGAACACTTCCAGGGATGGGGCAGCCACAACTTCTCTGGGCAGCTTGTTTCAGTTTCTCACCACCATCTTAGTGAAAAATGTCCTCATAATGTCTAACCTAAATCCACCCTGTTTCAGTTGAAAGCCATTCCCCCTTTTCCTGTTGCTACAAGTCATTATAAAAAGTCCCTCTCTAGCTTTCCTTCAGGTACTGGAAGGCTGCTGTAAGGTCTCTCTGCAGTCTTCTCTTCTCCAGGCTGACAGCTTGCTTGGTGTTGTTGGCAGCCCTTGCTGAGGGTGCGCTGAATGCCACTTTCCATGTCACTAACAAAAATGTGAAACAGTGCTGCTCTGAGTCCTGACCCCTGAGGAACACCACTCATCACAGATTTCCATCTGGACATCGAGCCATTGACTGCAACTCTTTGAGTGCCACCATCCAGCCAGTTTTTCATCCACTCAGTGGTACTTCCATCAATTCTGTGTCTTTCAACTTCAGAGACAAGGATGTTGTCCGAGACAATGTTGGATGCATTGCACAAGTGCAGGTAGATGACATCAGCTGCTCTTCCCTTGTCCACTGATGTTGTGACCCCATCATAAAAGGCCACCAAATTTTTCAGGTGTTATTTTCCCCTGGTGAAGCCCTGTTGGTTGCCACCAGTCACCTCCATATTTTCCATGTACCTTAGCATAGTTTCCAGGAGAAACTACTTCATAACCTTGTTGGACACAGACATGAGACAGACTGGCATGTAGCTCCCCAGGTCTTCCTTTGTTCCCTTTTTGAAAATGGTGGTTATGTTTCCCCTTTTCCAGTCAGTGGAAACTTCAGCAGAGTGCCAAGACTTCTCAAATACATTGGAAATCTGCTTTGCAACTTCATCCACCAGTTCCCTGAGGAACTGCAGATGGATCTCATCAAGTCCCGTGGACTTGTGTGCCTTCAGGTGCTTTAAATAGTCTGCAATCTGCTCTTCTCCTATAGTGGGTAGATCTTCCTTCCTGTAACCCCTGCCTTTGTCTTCTGTGACTTCGACAGTGTGGCCAGAGCTCCTGCCCATGAAGACTGAGGCAAGAAAGTGGTTGAGTACTTCAGCCTTCTCCATATCCCACATGACCAGGTCTCTTGTTTCCTTCTGGAAAGAGCCCACATTTTCCCTAGTCTTCCTTATATCACTGACTTACTTGTAAAAGATTTTATTGTTACGCTTCACGTCCCTGGTCAGATTTGATTCTATCTAGGCTTCACCTTTCCTATCCTGATCCGTGGCTGCAGCTCAGCCAACTTCTTTGTAATTCTCTCAGGCTACCTGTCCTTGCTTCCATGCTCTGTAGACTTTCTTTTTATGTCCAAATGTGTCCTTATTCATCTATGCAGGCTTTCTGGCATCGTTGCATGCATTCCTCTTTGGGATGCATTGCTCCTGGGCTTGAAGAAGGTGATCCCTGAATATCTACCAGCTTTCTTGTGCCTCTCTCCTCTCAAGGGCTTTATTCCATGGTACCCTACCAACCAGGTCCCTGAAGAGGCCAAGAGCTGCTCTCCTGAAGTCTAGAGTAGCAACTTGCTGTGCTCCCCGTTTGTCTCCCTAAAGATCTTGAACTCCACCATTTCATGGCCACTGCAGTCAAGACTGCCCTTAAGCTTCACATTTGCTACCAGCCCCTCCCTGTTGGTGAGAACAAGGTCCAGCATAGCACCTTTTCTTGCTGGTTCCTCTACCACTTGGAGAATGAAATTGTCATCAATGCATTTCAGGAATCTCCTGGATTGTTCATGCAGTGCCGTGTTGCCCCCCTAGCAGATATTGAGGTGGTTGAAATCTCCCATGAGGTGAGGACCATGGCTTGTGAATGTGAGGGTACTCCTGGCTGTCTGTAAGAGGCTTCATCCATTCGGTCTTCTGGTCAGGTGCCCTGTAGCAGATCCCCACTATGATACCACCTGCTTCTGTCTTCCCTTTATCCCTGAACCATAAAGGCTCAGTCAGATTCTTATCCATCTGCAGGCAGAACTCCATGGACTGATGGTTGACATAAAGAGTGGCACCCCATCCTCTTCTGTCCTGCCTGTCCTTTTCTAAGGAGCTTGTATGCGTCCATTCCCATGCTCCATTTGTAGGAGTCATCCCACAAAGTCTTAGTGCTGCTGGTAACATTGTATCCCTGCAGGCAGGCACAGATGTCTCTGACTGCTTGTTTTTCCTTATGCTGTGTGTGGTTTGCATAGTGACATTTTAAAGTTGTTCCCCCATTGAAGCTGTTTAACTGAATGGGATTACATTATCCTGCATTTCCTGTTGGCCTGTGATCCTTTTCCGGGCACAGGACATCTATTATGGGCACTGGCCAGTAATTGGAATGGAATTGAGGATCTCCTCCTCCAGCAATGCCAGCTATCCCTCTTAACTAAATTGCCAACACTATGGCCAAAGATGCTCTCCCCCTTCTCTGGCAGATAGACTCCATCAGTGCCCAGGAAACCAGGTTTCTCAAAGCGAGTTCCATGTAGCTGAAGCCTTGGCTGTGACAGCACTTCTGTAATAATTTATTGATTTTAATAATTTATTAACC